GTTTGAGTTTTTCGGATATCTAGTACCTAGGCTATGCCCAGTTCTCTTGATTTTATTCCCTCTGATAGGTTTGATCGAATCCTTTATATGATTTTGAAGGATTTTTTGAATGGTTCTGAATGTCCTGAATTGATCAGATAAAACTCAAACGAAGTAACATCATAATTACCGAGAAGATTAGCATATTGTGCAGCTAGAGATTAAAAATGTATAAATGACAAAATAGACAGGAAGTTCGGATATGAAGATTTGGTAGTGTAAATATAAATTAAGAAAAACCTAATAATAATAGCATGAATAAAAAAGAAGTTTGGATAGGAAAGGTAATGGGATTGTCACTATTAAAAGAATTACCTATTTATGATGGCAGTGGCAGGGATAAGGGTTGGACGTACTTCTTTTGGATACATAGAGTTGGTTTGAGTGTTTTGGATGGCTAGTACCTCGGCTATGCCCAGATGTCTTGATTTTACTCCCTTTGATAGGTTTGATCGAATCTTGTATATGATTTTGAAAGGTTTTTCGAATGATGCTGAATGTCGTGAGTTGACCAGATGTTCTGTCATTTAACTATATACACATTTCCATTCTACTTTTACTAGCCAGGCTGAGAAGTGTTCACTAGAGCGTTTTGCAAGTTGGCCCATGGTACGGCCGATGTACTCAGCTCCTCACTAGCAAGTAAACTGGTAAATGCACGTTGAAGTGGCCTAATGCGACAGCTTGTCTTTCGCGTTCTGGCTGAACAGTTTCCTTCAGGAAAATTTCAGTGGTGGGCTTATGGCGAAGTATGTTTTCCTCAGAGATTTGGATAGGCGTTTCCGAAGGATTTCTGCTTCGGTGTCACCTCTGAATACTAGATTATTCTTGAACTTTCCTACGCACTTATTATGAATACACGAATGTACAGCCTAGTTGATGACTTCGTCGAAAAGAAAATTTTCAACTTTTACACTCTTAGCTGGCTGTCATTAGTTAGAAAGTGCACCAAAGTGGTTATGTTCCCAGTTTCTAACTTTGATTATAAATATGATGGACGAAACCGAATGATTAGTCCACACGAAGTCGATTAATCTTATTGTGTCTGACTTATTTCTTTGAAAATCTTATTTGTGACTCGAACATCTCAGTGAATTCTCACTTCAACAACACCTGTATGATGTCCAGAAGTGAAGAAGCAGAAGTAAGCAGAGTACCAATGACCTATAGACAGCAGATAAGTTTCAGTGACTAGTATCGTCATTATATATTTATGAAAATGTGGTTAGATGTGAGCTTCTCCGAATCACTTCAAGACATATTCTCGAAGACCTTTATACAGCTAAACTGATTGTTTTTTTCATTTGCTTTAACATTCTTTCAATCCATATATGAATAAGTAGGCGGAGTTGAGATTTCTAGTTTACTCACTCCTCTAACTAGACATACATTTCCTGAATTATAAATATTCATAACTATCCCATCTTTTCATATCGACCTAATTAACCACTATTAGATGCTAATTATCTAAACAAAATAACTCCGATAAGGTTAATTACAAGAGAAGGACGACAAATATAATAACCGGGTGAAATCAATGCTATAACCTAACTGTAAACTTATTATCTGTGCGTGATTAAACCGAATTTCGTCTACATTTAAGGTCATGCTTAAAGGAAACAATCTGATGAGTAGATGTTGAACTATGAAAACAAAAATAATTATTATTATTCCTTCTCCTGAGATATGATAATACTTTCCACCATCTAAATAAACAAATATTTCATTTACATACTGTGTTTCATTATATCGCATTGAATGCACATTGACAATTTAACTTAATAATTATAATGACCTTGTGTCATCTGGAGGGCTGTTTGAAATCAAATAAAAAATCAGCCTCAATTTATATATATATATATATATATAAATCATCTTCAACATTTCATCCTCAGTTGATAAATATTTTGATAAGTGGTTAATTACTCACAAAATCACACAGCGTAAAAACAGTCACCTAATAACAATAGTTGATACAAAACTGCACAAGATATGGCTCCTAGCTAGCTAAAGCGTCAGGCGTACTAGAGAAACGCTTTATTATTATCCCCTTGCGTTACGAATGGAACATAGGGCTTCAACAACACATCTCCACTTCGTTCTGTTTTTTCTGTTGTCCTCTTAATCTGGCTGACCCCACGACTGCCCATTATCTCTCATCTCCTCATCATTCTCGACACACTATCTCCTCCACGTCAGACTGGCACTAACCCAGTCGTCGCTTCCCATTGGGATTCCACTCGAGGGATGGCCTGCATTGAGCGCGATGTCATTAGAAGGCCTCCTCAGCCGGCGTGAGCCCGATCCATCTCCGCTTTCTGCTACATATTCGTCCGTTGAGCAATCAGCTCTCGCCTATTGGTTTGTTCCCAGCCAGAGTTTCTTGTTCTAATTCTTTCTGGTCGGCTGATCGGTCATTTTACCATTAGTATGGAGCCAGCCAGTGAAGTGAGCAGCTGTTAATAAAAGTCTGTAGCAGCATTTTGGAACTCCTTTTCATGCCTGACATGCTTTACAAGTTTCTGACCTATATAAAAGCACCAACTGACTGACTTCATATTTGTGATGAACAGAATCCGAATCTTGTTGTTTATGCTGGCTAAGTGAGTGAGTGCATCAGATTTCCGAACCACTTTCAGGTTGATGAAGGCGTATCTTGCTTGTCTTTCCGATTCTGACTGACCGGCTGGCTGCGTTTGACATCTCTATCCGTGTTGTCCAACTGCCTGTGGTTGAAAGCGTGCTCCCTAGCGGATAAGTGAAGGAAGTAACCTCTTTCAACCTCTCTCTCCCGTTGATGGTGAGAAACTGGTGCTGGTTGTTGCTGCTGTTGGTTGGTTATCACTACAGAAACACAGGGACCAAAAACGTTGGATGTACATAGGTTATTGGATGCTATTTTTTTGATGTTGTCGAACTTCTTGCACTGTAACCGATTTGTGTCCTAAAATTCCGACAGAGCACTGTAGCTTATATATCAATTAGTCCATGTAATCAAAACCTCAGACTACATATGAACACATCATGACACCGGCATATCACAATTTTTCCCCATACAACAACGAGATTTAGACATTAGAATCAAGTAAAATGTGAAACTCGTGTATTTAGAAGGAATGAAAAATGTATTTAAAACATCCACGCATTAGCAACAGTGCGTCGGTGGTATAACGGTTTGGACGCTCGCCAACCATGCACATTGTCCGGGGTTCGATCCCAGGCCAGTGACGCACTCCTTTACCTCGCTAAGCCAGAAATAATGCTGGTGAAGAGGAAAGGTTGAGCATAAGGCTAGCAACCCCATCCTGTAAAATAAACATTGTTACAGAAACTTCAAGCCACTAGCTTGAAGCCCTATGTTCCACTGGGGAACGTGAAGGATAAAAAAATGCATTAACAATAGTTCACAGATAACTGTCTCTATTAGGTCATTTCGTGATGAAATAGCATACTTTATTTAGTGAGTGATACATGATTAGTAACGAGACTGTTTGTTTGTTTTCTGATCAGACGATAAAAGTAAACAGAGTATGGTGTTTTAATGGTAATAATAATAATAATCACTTTATTCCAAACAACAATAATAATTATACAGAATGAATTTTCAGTGTTTTTTATACATAGTGCAACAATTTAACTCATATATATATGCATAAATTGAAAAAAATCTTGTAAAAGTGACAAAAACTTAAAGTTAGTGGGAACATAATGAAGTACAAATAGACAGTATCATAGATAATGCATGTAACAATAATCTTTACTTATACTTTGCAATGGAGTTACTAATTTAAAAAGCTTATAAATTCTTTCCTGATACCTCACTCTCTTTTCACACAGAGCCTGTCTTAAATATGGTATGGTTGAATTTTCATATTCTGCTGTACGAGTGTAAATCCTTGTGATATTTCTTCTGGTCTCAACCCCGAAGGGATACAAGGCAAAAGTTGAAAATAAAGAGGATGTTCGGTATCAGATAAGACAACTTTAGCCAACTGCTTGAAAGAGTTAAAATGCCTGTCGATCCGGTTGGATGGCGTCCCAGTGGTTCAATGGTCTACGAGATCGCCTTGTAACCAGAAGGTCCTGCGTTCGAACCTCGGTGGTTGTGTTCTGATGAAGAGTCCCAAACTAGGACGAAACAGCTGTCCAGTACTCCCAGGTTTTCCAGTGGCCTTCTTACTGATGTCAGCTCATGATGAAATCCTCCATGCAATCAAACAAAATCCCTACAAAACCAATGCTTGAAAAAGAGAAAAAACAAAGCAAGGAAGGGGTTGAAAATATTATGAAGTAAATTGGTCGTCGGTTCTAAATTGGAAGTAATAACAAATAACTTTTGGACACATAAGACAGGTTTAAGTCTTTTTATGTGTCCTCCCTTCTATAAAAACTGTGTATGACAAGTACGTTTATGATCAGAATGTCCGAAATGTGTTGCGCCAATACATTACTTTATCTCTGTTAAATGATGTATCAGAGGCTTGTTAATTACGAGAGTGTCAGAAGATCAACATAATCTAAATGCAAGAAATATTTTTTCAAAGGTACAGCTGTATGACATAGAAGCAAACACTGGTGGCAGTTTTCCTCATTCCTTTGCGTTCCAATGGGAACATTTGGAGCTTCAAGCTTGAATCTTGAAGGTTCTGTGGGTTTTTTTAAGAGAGAGCGTTACTGACTTCACAATTCTCCAGCCTTACCTCCTTATAAAATTTAATGCTGACTGAGTGAGGTGTAGGAATGCGTTGGTAATCAGTAGAACCCGGACCACATACACACGTGGCAACTGACAGCATGAATACTCCCTTTTTACATACTGGCTAAACAGTAATTTAAAGCGAACTGATTATCAACAGTAATGGAATTGCTTTATCATTTTAACTTCTAGTTGTTGTTTTAACACGTTATTTCGTTGAATTCCATTTTTATGTAAAAGTCATAATGACGTTTTTTTATTGCAGGACGACCTTCAAAACCTGAAGGTTCCGAGTCTGTCAGCCCTCCTATCTCTAGTACAAATAAAGATTCATCTTCAAGTGAAGGTAAGCAATATTTAAAGCCACTAATCTGTGTTTTCCGATTTTAAACTGACCACTTGCAGTTCACCTAACGAATTCCTTTGATAAATACTTAATTATATATACCTTTTGTAAAGCAAGAACAATAAATAGTTTGAGATAAATTCAATTTAGTTGCATTTCTTGTGCTCAAAATCTTATACAAATGCACTAAATTGAAAAAATGCCAACCTAAAGAATAGTGACCATGGGGTGCGAACGCACTAATGACCTTGAACGCTTACCACTCATTGGATTATTGAACCTGCCATTATTACAGCTCCAGTATGAATGCCACGTACGAATTGAGGTGCGAATTTTATCCTCATCCCGTTTTTAAGTACTGTTTGGATAATGGCTTGATAGAATGTTATTATTAGAATTACTCTTAGGGTTGTGGTTATGATTAGGGTTAAGGTAAGGCTTATGGTTAGGGTTAGGAATAGGGTTACAGAGTTTTATTATTATTATCTGCATTTTCCTTGTAAAAAGATAAACAGGAAGGGAGTATTTCGTTGTTTATTTAGATAAAACCATTATGATATCCATGAAATTTGAAGACTAGCACCCTCCATTGTAATTAAGAAGTAATTCTGAGTTACCTCTGGTTAAAATATCGTCTTTGATGTGTTTCATTATTACTGTTGTGTTAATTTTTATCGTAAATAAACGACTCTTTGATGTAGAATATACAGAAGGTTCTGTAATCATCCAACGAATGGTATGTGTTCAGGGTCATCGGTGCTTTCGTACTCCGTGGTCGCTAGGTATTTTCTTGATAGCACAGTAAACGCTGCAACAGATATTGCAGCCATGTTTAAAAAATATTAGATAAAACAATCTTAAAACACCTGAACGTAACATCTGATAGGATTATAGCATTCCCCTAAGCACCGTGTTACAAAATCACATAAAACCAACTACTTAAGGAAATTTAAATCATAACTGACTACCTCTGTTCTATCTGTACAAGTATATTGAGACGAAAGCGCGGCAAGTTTATTTTGCGAGAACTTATATTCTCACTCAGTTTAAGATGCCATTACCAAATATAAATAATTTGATATAGTTCAGTGCATAACCAATACACACACTAATATATATTACATTAAACAAAGTGACAAAGAATTTAAGGGTAATAAGAATTAGAACAAGACATATAAGCGAACAATATTGTTGTTTTCAATTAGATCTTCTTCAGGCTTTACTCTAATTTACATAGATTTATATATAAAAATTTTAACCAATGACGGTGAGTTTGTCGATCAATTAATATTATTGACGTGTTAAATGTTTTGAACAACAGTTGTAACGATGATTATGATGATAACAAAATAATGATAATAAGGTTTATGCAGTTGGCGATAAGAATAACGAAGGTAGCGATACGTGTATACGAAGACAGTTCGGTGGCACAGTGGTTAGGACTCTCGCCGTTCATGCACATGGTCCGGGGTTCGATCTTCTGCCGGCGCACACCCGATATCTATGGTCGGCCTGTAAATTTGGGCTACCGATATCCATGCTGAAAATTCCATACTTGTACTGAAAACACGGTGTGGAATCAAGCTGCAATCAAAATTTTAAAAAAATAAAAAAAATATACGTTAGGCCAAATCTCAAAAGTTACGTAATACTAGGGATGAAGTGGACAGATAATCAAACTTTACCTAGGCCAACGGGGAGATAAAGGTAGAAAAAACTTCTTTTGTATACAAAGACAAGGATTGTTCTCTCGAATCAATTCTCATAGCGGGTTCAAATTCCATTCGGAGGGTTCGATGAAATGTGATAGATAACTTTGAAGACACTTCTTCTGTCCACTTTGTGATCACTATCAATCAAAATGAGTCAAAATAGAACTTCCTATAGATTTTATTTGGCCTTTTCGGAAGCATGAAGGAAGGTGCTCAATAGTACGTTATTTAAGCTGTCTAGCTGTTCGCCCTAAGTTACTTTCTCTACAGGAGCGGCTAATTTTGTAGATACATAAAAAAGTGGCACAGCCAGGCGAATTGTCTTTCGCTCGAACCATCATAATTGGTTGGCCGCGTCGGTGGCACAGTGGTTAGGACTCTCGCCGACCATGCACATGGTCCGGGGTTCGATCTTCTGCCGGCGCACACCCGATATCTATGGTCGGCCTGAAATTTGGGCTACCGATATCCATGCTGAAAATTCCATATTTGTACTGAAAATGCGGTGTGGAATCAAGCTGTAATCAAAATAAAAAATAAAAAAATAAATAAGATAAATAAAATAAAAATGACAAACAAAAGGTGGCGGCAGTATAAGTCCGTTTTATTGCTCTCAATAATCTCAGACGTAGAACTTCACTAGCCAAAATCCCACTAATTTGCAATTTTAAGAACAGTTGTTTCTTTTTAACTGTTGTCAGTTTCCCTTTATTATTATTAACAATAAGTTTGGTGATATAACCAGATAAGGGTTACCAAGTTAGGGTTGAGATTAATAATAAACTGTCTTCATACACATGGGTAGGCGGCTTAATTTTACGAATAGCTATCGCCTTTGAGTATTTTAGTAAGCACTACTGATTGTTTTTATAAATAACATTAATAGCTATTTTGATATCAATCTTGTGATTCCAAACTGATTAAGTGTTTATCTATAGACGAAGTTGGTAGTCTCACACCTACGGGAAATATTACTACCGATAAAGTCAAAGGATGAGAAATAACAGAAAATACCATGAAATCAGTGAGATTTACCTCAAATCTTCTTAATTCAACTTATTCAACTGTGTTATTCTACTGTAGTTTGTTTAAATAAATTTAAAATTGTCCGTTGAACAATAGTTAGCCCAGTGGTTTAGTGGGTAACGCCTTGGTATTTGAAACAATGGACGTTAGGTTTGAATTTCATTGGAGATACCATCACTTAAGATGGTAACAGACAGATCCTGATGATAATCTGATTTGTTTCAAGTTTGATCATGGATTGTTAACAGGTAAAGAACCATTTAGAACCAGCAAGCAGAACTGGACAGCTGTTTCGTCCTATTTTGAGACTCATCGGGAGTACCCGCCTACTAGGTTCCGAATATAGGAGGACCCTCAGGTTACAAGGGAAGCTCGTACACCATTCAGCCATTCACATGCAATCCAATAGTCAGCCCATGAGTTTCAACTTCTATAAATTCGTAAATTTAGCGCGACCAACGGTCAATGTCATGAGTAAGTATTTATCCCTGCATTCCTCCACCGGTGGGACCCCGCTAGTCACCTTCGTCTTGTAGCCAGTCACTAGTGAACATCAGATCAATTCTTAAGTGTTAGTTTCCATTCCAGGGATTATTTAATCGTTTGATAATGAACCTCACCGATGAAAATATCCCATGGCGTTATTTACAAAAAAAATGCTTGTTGTGAATATTTATTGTTCGCTTACCACTTCGAAATTATTTTGATCCAAATATCTCTTAAAAGAAATTTTCCTAAAATAGTTATCTTTCTAGTCTTCATAGAAAAAAGGCTGTGAAACACGCAAATCTCAAAGTTAATTAAGCCATTTGATTACAATAATAATAATAATAAGGAGTTCAGACAATCATTTTCACAGTGACACATATTTTGAGAGATAAATTGCCAGCTTAATTTAAAGCTTATTTTACAAAAAAAGAGAAGTAGGTTAAGCCATCTAGTGAAGAAAACACACAGATTATGAAGGAAATTTATTTCACTTAAAAAACACCATCTCGTAACACTAATCACTCTCTAAGAAGTTATTTACCTGGTCATCTAAATATTGGTTGTTCGCCTAAATGCAATTTTCATGGATGATGGTGTTTATTCTAAGTTGATATGCTTCGATTGGACACTAGTTAGTAGCTAGTAGCATGCGTCTAGTCCTTTGTTTGATGCAGACTGAATTCAGCCAAATCAGTCAAGTTTGCCATGTGGCTACCATCAAGTTACGTGGCTCGCCATCATAGCGCACAGTGACTTGTTGTTATTAGGTGGTTGGAGGCAATCGGAAGGAAGTCCAGCCTGACCTAGGTTTCGGGCTTGTTGGCACTCATCATCCATCAAGGCGCACCATCGATCTTGAAAGAACTCATGTCCCTTCTGAGATTTAAACCCTGTATTACCCAGTGCTGCACTCAAACACATTTTCATGATACTAGTTACTACTAACTAGTGTCCAATCAAAGTATCTTATGTAGTCCTAGAGAAGGTCAGTCGTTAGCCAGAATAACTGGTAACGTCTCTGACTGTAGCACCGGATGACACGGGTTCGAATCTCAGGAGGAACACATGTTCCTTCTAGATTGTAGATGTGCCTTTCTAACTGTTAAGTGCCAACAAGCACGAAAACTAGGTTCAATCAAGACTTCCTTTTGAATGCTCCAACCATCTGATAACAACAATCCACAGCTTACCTCGGTGGCGAGCCAACTAGCACGGTGTATGAGATCTATAAGAAGGAAATCTCATATACAAAGGGTCAAAAGTCAAGGAAACAATCAGTTAGAATACAAGTAGCCCCCAGAGAGTGTGAAAACACACAAAAACAACCAAACACGTTCAGAGTCATCAGGAGAGATGAATAATAAACTCGTAGAGAAATCTAAAGGTTCACTTCGAATTGAAGTACGAGCTGAATATTTATTCCTAGTAGGGCAATGAAAGCTTTGCAAATAAACCATCCAGCTCAGAGAATACAACTACATCAGAATTATTTAAGTGTACATTTGCAGTATCTTTCAATGGAATCTCTGTAATATCCACTCTTTGAGGTTTTCGTGCTAGGTGACCATTGGAAAGCTTTTGAAAACACAATAGGCAGTGGAAACAAATAAAGTTACACTGATATTACCATTTTATCACGGTAAGCAGGTAATGACTAACTTATTACCAATAAGTCTGAATACTTTCAACACCAATGTTAAGTTAGTCAATGCTTCTATATGAATAGGAAACCCCGCGCCAAACGGAAAGCATTTTCAACAGCTAGCTGGAGACTTTTATTAACAGCTGCTTTAGCTGGCCGCATACTGAAGATCAAATAGCTGGTCAGAAAGAATTATTAGCATTGAGCTTTTGGAGCGAAGCAATCAAGAACCTGCTTCTCAACAAATATTCTGAAGAAAATGGAAAGGAACTGGATGCATGCAAAGGAGATCGTTGGGTGACATCATGCGCTAGGCCATCACTCGATTGGAACCCGAGTCGGGAACAACGAGTTGGATATGATTAGGGTGGGTGGTATGGAAGAGATAATGTGAGCCATTTGATAAAGTCACTGATGACATCACTGAGCGATGCAAATCTAATTCTAAGTGATAGTATCAGTTCTTTCAAGATTTCGCATAAGCTTTTCAGTGAAATGAATACTGGATCTATGATGTTTTGTTCCAAAAATGTAATCCCCCCAAAGTAATGACTATTTTTGATATAACTACAAAACTTGAACACTGTGGTAGAGTATAACTTCACTATAGATAAGATTTTATTTTGGTAAATCAAATAGTGTTATACAGTAATATTAACTGATGACGTTTCGTGGACGGAAAAATCTTACTCCTAACACCACACAATTTATTATTTGATATTCACTGATATTTTAGAGGAGAGATTGTACTTGCGCATAACAGTCTAATTTAGGATGGATACATTCACTTAACTGCATGATTATTAACTTATGGTGATTCACGATACAAATTCCTTTAAGTATTTCTTTTTTGTGATTTCATTGATTGGTTACAGGATTTCGTCATGAGCTGACATCAGTTAGATAACCGTTGGATAACCAGTAAGGAGTACTGGACAGCTCTTTGAGACTCCTAGCAGTACTCACCCACCAGGGTTCGAACGCCGTTAGAATTCATGAGCCATTGGGTCGGGTCTCAGTGGTTTAATGGCCTTCCAGTTACCTCGCCTTGTAACCAGTAGGTCCTGGGTTCGAACCCCCATAGATGTGTACTGATGAAGAGTCCCAAACTAGGACAAAACAGCTGTTTGGTAGTATTCCCAAGTTTTCCAGTGGTTCTCTAACCGATGTCAGTTCATGATGAAACCCTGTAACAATTTACTGCACCGGAAGTTTTCCTTATTTGAACACATGAAAAGTGAGAAGGAGGCAGATATTTCTTTAAAGAGGTGCGCTTGTCAGTTTTGCGTACAGTCATTTTTCGAAATACCCTTTGAAGTGTTAAACATATAGGCTAAAATATACTGACTACTGTTAAGTCATAATTAACAGAATCTCACAAGTATTATATTCGTATAATAAAAACATAATTGTCTTCTTTTTTATACTGTGGTTTATTAGCTATTTCGACTACAAAAGTACGCAGTATAGCTAAAGAATTTCCAAAATCCCCAGAACATTCTACCCAAAATCTCACGGAAGCCTCCAAACCTACTTCTCCATCCTATACAAGTGTGCCTGGAATGGTAACCAGTCCAGATAACGCCTATAAACAATCACCATGCCCATTGCCCGACTCTCCTAATCCTAATTCCTCATGGAAGCCTCAGTCTGTTCCACCTATCTCAACTCTATCCTTTCATCCAGCATTTACGCCCAGCAAAACTGCTGGTCATTCAACAGCCTCTGCTTTAGCCTCTTCATTTACTAATACAAATTCTACTCAAAAGGTTGCAAGTTTAACAGGTGAAAAGGAGCCTGCTAATCTTCTTTCAACTGCATCAAATGCTGTATCTTCAGTACGACGTCCAACTGTATCTCCAAGTGAAGAAGGTAATTTTAAAGATATGTTTTTGAATGTTTTGAATGAAAAAAGGTGATGTAATAAACATACTTTATCTAATATCTATCCTCTGTTATTTGTAAAAGTCACTAAGCAGAAGAGTATGGATGTCAATTAATGCAAAATAATCTACAAAGTATTTTTGGTCGCATAAATAAAATAAATTTGGATTCTCAAGAGTTAGTTTGTAGGGATTAGATTTATTTCAAGCATGACTAGGAGTTGATATCAGTTGGAGAACTTTTGAAAACCAATGAGTACTGGATAGCCGCTTCGATCAAAATCTTTGCCCCCAGAGAGAAATGAACTCTCAACCCCTTGTTTACTAGACCAGTGCTCTAACCAGTGAGTTATGAGGGCACTGCCAATCAGTAACAAACTAGGACGAAACAGGTATCCAGTACACCTTGGTTTTCAATGATTCTCTAACTGATATTCCTCAGTGATCGGAAATGAAACTAGGATTCTTCTTCAGTGTGGTGCTATGTTCCGTAAAACTGTACTAATTAACATTCTATGGCTAATTTACCAAGTCAATTCAAGAACCCACTGAATAGAGTGAACGTTAGCTTGTTATTTTGCGCACAAAATAAAGATAAACGCAAGACGCCAACACTGAACACTTCTTTATACGGCTCAGATTATATAGACTGGAAGAAGACCTTATTTCGTTATGCTACACCATGACAGGGAATTGGAAAGTCACATACTATTTATAAAAATTAAATTTTGAAGCGTATTTTCACAAGCTGGTGTTGTCGATCTAAATGTTTAGAAGATAATGAATCCTTCGTAACATATCCATTTTAAAAAATCTAATGGCATTATTGTGTGGTTTACTCGTGATTCGGTGAATCAGAATTTTTTGTACATTTATAAGCTCGACTTATGTTTCTGAAATTGCGTCGAAATGTCATTATTAAAAGTGACATATTGGCATCAGTCTATCATAAAGTCAAGTAGATATTCTACACAAAGTGTTCATACCACAGACATTTCTAAGACGAAGCACAACACAATGTGTTATTTCCACATTTGGGTTACCTGAAGTAAAACTGTAACGACAGAAGACCAGGGCCAGGCAACAGATCGTTTATTGAGGAAATCAAAAGATATTTATAGATTTTTATGTACATTATTGTCAGCAGAGAAGCAACCTCTTCTGATTGGTTTTTTCTTCCTGGAGGTTATTCTGTACTGCTTGTGACCGTTTTTCAGAAAGTTAAGCCACATATATGCAAATCTCATTTGCACACGTTAAGTCTGTTGTGATTGGTTGGTGAGGTCATCAAGGCTAGGTTTTATTATTGTTTTTTCATGGCCCCGATTCTGGACGTAACATTGACGTGAATGGCGGTCTACGATTTTGGCTTGCAGCCAGCTCTCACCACAAAATGACTCTGAAGTTTATCCGTTTAACTGTACATAAATTTTTGATTACTATTATTATGCGTGTTAGGTAATCTTGTTATCTTTTGTACTTGCAATGTAGAGTTAGTGTTTATTATTATTACTCTTATCCGCTCCTCGAAGTCTTAGTGGAGCGCCGAGCCTCCATGGCACATCCAGTTTGCACTCAGTTCTGTGCTATTAATTCCGACTGACTCCAAGATTGCATATACACATTCATTCCTCCTTTACATGATCGTTTTCATGTTGCACTCAGACGCCCGAATCATCGCATTCCGTTCATGTTTCACTCAAGAACTTAGCATGTGGTGTCAATTGAAGGTGGTCTGATTAGCCTTTGTTCAATTCAACTCTATTTTTTACCACATATTTGTTGGGCAGTAGACTGTTGACTGGTTCTCTGCTAGAGTTACTTGTTGTTTATTCTTCCTGGCCAACCATCTGATCTTCAAATTAGTGATTAAATCATGATTACATTTCCGTCGATATCGAAATCTAATCAACTATAAAATGGCTTCTTCGTGAGTAGAATTTATCTTCAGTCATCGGTTAGCCATAATAAAATGTTAGTTTGTAGGAATTTGACTGACTTCTAGTGGGATTTAAGAAACCACTGAAAACCAAGGAGTATTTGACACCTGTTTCCTCTCAGCCTGATACTCCTCAACCTTCACTTGTGTCATGAATGAGTACCACTGAAGAGTTCCAAGTCGAAACGAAACTTCTTATCGCATAGAAATGGTTTTAACTCAACTGCTGAAAATTTAATCACTGGATATGGAGCAAGAAGTGGACGACCTAATAAGTCCGATTCTAAACACTGAAACATACAAACAGCACACAGCAGAAGCTTGTCTCCTGCGCTACCAGTAAGCAAACAGCAAGCCGTTTTAATACAGAGTTGAATGAAAATACTTCATACACGTACAGTAACAAACTACTTTCTTAAGTATTCCACATATAATAAGTAGATTCACATTCTTTGAGTAGAATAACAGATTAGTTATATATGTCCAAACCAAGTTTACTTTAAACTGTTTGAAAAATTTGAGCATTGGGTATATAATATTCATTAATATAAAAGTTTCTGTATTTCCCAATGAATGAAAAACAAAATGAGATTGATTTTGCTGACGTTTCGTTATTTAAGGCGGCTAATAGCCTCATCAAAGTATTATTAAACCAGAATTGACAAAATCTCAGCTTATATATAACAACTTAATCATCACTCCTCAGCATGGGGGCATTTTGCCATTGTTAAATTGGCCAATTGGTAAAGATAACAAAACCAGGTGCAGATTTTTGGATTTGATAAGTGTATAAAATTATAAAGGCAGTGTGTGTTTACATAGTGAAATCGCTTTTCACATTCGTGTTGATTTTGTCATTTCATAAGGTAGGGGACGGGGTGTTGTAACCAGGTAAAATCCTGTTTAGTCATTCATTCCTTTTCAGACAACTTGGATTCCATTTGATATGAAGTGCTTCTAATGACAATAGATGTTCTTTTTGATTTCTCAAATTTTTCTGGATGATGATTTCGATATTGTCAAAATCAATTTTGTGGCCTGATTCTATAGCGTTTAGACGACCGATAGCTGGTGATTTTTCAAGCTTTTCTAGTTCAACTGGATTTCTCGGTGGCCGAACATATGCTCTATGATCTTAATTTATTCTGATTTCGATTTCTCTCTGGCGATGTTTGTCCGATGTATATCGCATCACATTCCAAACATTTTATTTTATAGATACAATTAGATAAAGAATCCTTAGGTATTAGGTCTTTTACATGGACAATGTTGCTTTGCAGTGTGCGTGTCTGATGTTTTGAAGAAAACTTTGATATTGAGCTTATTGAGTACTCTTCTGATATCGTCTGACGCCTCTGATCTGTATGGAATGACAGTTGTTGAGGTCCATGTATTTGGAATACATTTTCGACCATATATTTAATGTCGGTGTTAATTTTATTGATGAGATTCTTTGGGCAGTTATTTTTCTTGGGTGTCTCAGTAATGTTTGATATTTCATCTTCTTTTTCTTCCTCATCCGTTATTAAAGAGTGGGGGAAAAAAGTAACAAGTCCGTTCAAGCTTGTGAAAGGTGTTAGATGACTGGCTAGTACAAAGTAGTATGCATTAAGGAGGAGATAGTAAGACTGCAGTGAAAAGTTCATCATAGAATAATCAATATTTGAAATGAATTAGATTGAGGCATATATTAAGAAAAGAGAACTATTCTACACATGACATTATTTGTTTTGCCACTTGACACCATATATAATTAACTTTGCCTATAATCACAAAGATTATAATCGCGTTTCATTCTACTATTATTATTTAATATATTCACGCCCTTGTTTCAATTTCCTCACAGGAAATAATTTCTTAAAAAACCAGCTTAATAATACATTCGTTGAAAAGCGCCTCCTCACTGAATCACTTGCTTTGATTTTCCATATATATCCCAATGGGATTTCTCCACGAATTAAAAAGAGATAATATCACTCACAATAAGCCCATATAATGTAAAAGGGAAAATTCGATAGTTTTGAAAGAATGCAAGAATGATGGATATAAATTATAATCAATAATAATTATCATTATAATAATAAATTATAATTAACCAAAAGCAAAAAGAAAATAAGGGACAAAGGAAGCAGACACCATTTGAGAAAAGAAGAAATTTTAATCCAAGTTCGACTACGGTAGGCATAGCTCCTGAAAGTGTTCCTTTTGAGGACAAAGTTCTGTTTACCACACAAATACCACTATTTATTTTGTCACCCGTCATATTACTAATCTGTTAATCTACGTAAAAAAATCTATCTACCGCATAACTGTCCATTGATTAGTTGAACGACAAGGAGGTGAAGAGAAATTACTGAAAAGAGTAGTCTTCTGTTGATGTTAGACGGAAGGAAGGAAGCCTTGGACCTAGGTTTCATGCTAGTCGGCACTCACCAGTCAGCAAGGCGTATCTGCAATCTTGGAGGAACTCACATCCTTTATGAGATTCGAACCCACATCACCCAGTGCTATCTGCAATCAGAGACGTTATCACTGAGCTATTCGGGCTCGCAATTGACCTCCTGTAGAACTGTAGTGGATATTTTGATTTGACACTGATAACTAGTGTGATGTGGTTAGTCCTTTGTTTTGTGCAGACTGAATTCTATCAGTACTTAGGTTTGCAATGCGGCCACGACTCTAGCTAGCTGATTATCGATTTCCTCCAACCATCTATCATCAACAATTCAAAGTGTACCGAGAAGGCGAGCTGCCTAGAATGGTGGCCACATTGCAAACCTGACTGACAATAGAATTCAGTCTGCTCTAAACAAAGGACTAGACACATCACACTAGTTTACTAGTGTTCAATGAAAGTGTAGTCTTCCTTCGGATTGAATTTTAATTCATAATATGTGAATGCTTCACACTATTAAACGTTCATAAAGTTTGTTATTGTAATTCATTCTTTGTTTGTCTGTGTTTTTTTATCTCCAATCTATAATAGCTCCATTTGGTATCCTCTACTTCACCCTATATCATGATACAGCAAACAAACAGCTTCATGTTGCAATACACAAGGCTAAGGTGAGTTGGATAATATCTGCTTCTTTCTGTTTACTTACTAGTTAATTATTAATCTCCACCCAGGCATTTATGAAAACAGAATACGAAGTTCAGCGAAGAGTCTCTTTTTCAAGAAATTTATTTTCTTAGCTGCACAATAGCAAATAAATACAGGTTACTCTTTATGTGTGTGTACATTAAGTCTGTCAAACAAAAATACAATTGATTATGGTTATTTTACCTAAATAGGTGGAAATTAGTAAGTTTTGAGTAGAGTTATGAAAAAAAAAACGGTCAAGAAAACTGGGTATTAGTGAAACTAGGGTAGTAACAAAGGTGATGACTTGTCACAAACAAACTTCATCCTCATGTAGCGTTTGAAAATCAAATCAGCCAAACGGACGATCTCATTCTAACTTCTGAAGACAAGTTATAGAGATTCAAGTCAACAAGCACCGACTGCTGCCACCAAAAGTCCACAAACACCTAACAAAGGGGCATCGAGAAGAATTAAAGCAGCTGAGAGATAACAAAGTTCTGTAAATAAGTCGCCTCGACAAGGGTGCTTGTGTAACTCTGTAACGCGTCTTCAGAAGCTGGAATGGGATCGTTCGTTTGACTGATTCGGCAGTCAAACTATACACGAGAATGAAGTTTGTTTGTGACAACTCATCACCTTTGTTACTAGTTGCTAGTTTCATTAACACCCAATTTTCTTGACCGTTTTTTATTACGTAACTCCACCCAAAACTTAGTAATTCTCACCTGTTTAGCTAAAATAACCATAACCAATTGTATTTTTGTTTGTACAGCTAAGAAAATGAATTCGCCGCCGAAAAGAGACTCTTCGTTGAACTACGTGTTTTGTTTTATTTACTAATTATTTTATATGTTTTTGTCAAGTTTATTTACTTCTCAGAGGTCATTCCGTAGGGATTAGATTTATTTCAAATTTGATCACTGGTTGATATCAATTAGAGAACCACTGAAAGACAGAGAGTACTGGGCAGCTGTTTCCTACCTTTTTCGGACGAATTGGCGGTATGCACGGACCGACATCCAAACCCATAACCTTCCGGTTACAAAAGGGATCTTACTACGTAGACCATTCAGTCACTGAGACTTAATTCAATGTCCCATGAATTCCAAATTCCACCAATTTGTGATTTTAGTGTCACCACCATCCAGTGTCAGTGGCGAGTATTTGTCCTCACACGCGACACAATCGTGCCCAGTGGTCACAATTTCTAAGTAGAACTTTAGCTGGTTTCGCTCTGTAGACAGTCACTAGTGAGCATTAGATTAAGTTCCAGCAGTTGGTTTTAAGGGGTTTGATATGTTTCAAGAGTGCTGGACAACTGTTCCGCTCCAGTCTGGGATTCATAGGCTTTTACTCCTGAAGTGAAAAAGACTAGTGAGAAATACCATCTTCCGGCTAACTGCTGTAATACTGATGGGTTTTTAATGCTGAATATAATAAGTCCTACCTATAATTGTAGTGTTTTATCAGTTATCAAAGTAAAAGAGATTCCGCTTCATATATTATTTAAGGAAACTGTCACTTTTGGAGAGTAGTTCCACCTACGCTGCTATATTATCACTTCTTATACACACTTATTTAAGTTTCGCATATTCTTTTTCGGCATTTCGATTAAAGGAAAAACGTTTTTACCGAATCGCGTAGGCAAATGTATTGTAGCAACCTGTCATGAGGTGTAATGATCCTTGACGGCGCTCATTTGATCTCACCAACAGACAATTGTTTATGCGAATGTGTATCTTAGTTCACAAAAAAACAGTATCATAGAAGCTAATCTCTATCTTCACATTTGAAACGTCCCATTTATTTGTTGAGATGGCAGACACAAAAGAAGGAAATGCTTAACACTCTATGGTTTTATGACTAAATAACATTTCCCCAAGCATATTTTATGTAGCTGTTCTGTTATTCGAAGAAGGAGGTATTACTAAAAGCAAAGATTAAACAATTTCGTGGTTTTTTTTCTTCTTCATCCTTAATAATGTTGATGTGTGAATCTTCGGTTAATTATTATTACTTCTTTGGGTTCCTTGTGGGATATAGGGCCTCAGCAGCACATCTCTATTTTGCCCTAGTCCTTTCAGTCCTCTTCATCTGGCCTCACTATTTCCCATAAGCCCATATCTCATCCCTGCACTATCTCTTCCATGTCACCCCCATACTCACGCTCACTCCTCTTCTCACATTCGGGTTCCACTGGAGCGATGACCTGGCCAGTAATGTCACCCAACGGTTTCCTTAGCGTGTATCCGATTCATCTCTGTTTTATTTGAAATTCTTGTTTACTAATGGGTCTTTGGTTGATTCATCTCCAGAGTTTCCTGCCGCTTAATCTTACTGGCCTGCTATCTGTTATTAACTATAAAGCCAGCAAAAACAACTGTTGATAGAAGTCTCAACAAGGCTTGTTGGAAATGCTCTACGTGACGAACTATATTCGAGAAATGAATGACTTTACATTGGTGTTGAGAATCTGAATTTTGTTCTTTGTGCTGATTTTAGAGGATTTTCAAGCTGATTTCAGACTGATGAAGATCAAACTTCCCTTTCCGATTCAAATTTTGAAGTTCTCATTAATGGTGAATGCCAGTAGTAGTTGGAAGGATGCTGATTAGATAAATGTAGGAAGTGACTACTTTCAAATTTCTCCTGTCTACATTGATTGGTGCTTGTTGTTGTTGTTGGTCGTTAAGCATATTCATCATCTCTATCTTTTTTATGTTCACATGAAGTCCTGTCTTTATTATTATTATTATTGTAACCTTTAATTCCTATAGGAACATAGGGCTTCAGCCGTGCGTCTCCACTGCGTTCGGTTCTCTGCTAGGATCTTCACCTGGCTCCAAGTCTGCCCACACGTTTTCATCTCCTCTTCACATGACCTCCTCCAAGTCACCCTTGGACAACCAACTCGCCACTTCCCTTCCGGGTTCCACCCGAGCAGTGGCTTGTCTAGTGATGTCACTTGATGGTTTCCTCAGAGTATGGCCAATCCACGTTCATTTCTTCCTGCCTAGTTGTTTCACAATCGGTTCCTGGTTGGTTCGTTCCCAAAGATCCCTGTTGCTGATCTTTTCTGGCCATCTGATCTTGAGTAGTATTGAGCGAAGACAACTGTTAATGAAGGTCTGTAGTTTGTTTGAGATGCTCTTTATGGAGCGCCAAGTCTCTGATCCGTATAGTAGAGCTGACTGACTTCACATTGGAGTTGAAAATCTGGATCTTATTTTTGATGCTGAGTGTTGTTGACCTCCACACAGACTTGAGAGTAGTGAAAGCTTGTCTTGCTTTTCCGATCCTTGCTTTTATATCCTCGTCTGTTCCGCCTGTAGTTGAAACGATGCTTCCCAGGTAGGTAAAGGAGGTTGTTTCTTTCAGGTTCCTCCCATTTATACTGATTGTTGTCAGTTGTTGTTGTTGCTGTTGGTAGTGTTGCCCAGGAATTTTCATCACTTCTGTTTTATCTATGTTCACCTGAAGTCCTATCTTCTCTAGATGCTTCTTCTGCCAACTTGTTGCTTTTCGCTTACATATCTTCCAGTTTGTGGGAAATCAGACATATACCATCGGCGAAGTCCAGATCCTCCAAGTTGGTTTTTTGTGTGAGTCCATTTTATGCCTGTTTCCTCATTGCCCACTGTTTGTCGCATTATCCAGTCTACTGCAATCAAGAAAATCATTGGCGATAGTAGACAGCCTTGTCTTACTCCTGTCCTCACTTCGAAGGGTTCCGTAAGTTTCCCATTGTGGATTACTTGGCATGCAGCATTGTCGTATAGCTGTTGGATGAGATGTATTATTGTCGGTGGCACCCCGTAGTAGCGAAGTAGTTTCCAAATCACCTCTCGATCGACGCTGTCAAAGGCCTTTTCAAAGTCGATGAAGTTTAGATAGAGAGGTGACTGCCATTCCAGGCTTTGTTCAATGATGATCCGTAATGTGGCGATCTGATCAATGCATGACTTGTTTCTCCTGAATCCAGCCTGTTCCGGTCGAAGTTTATCCATATATAGATCTTCTATAGTCTTATGATCGGTCTAACGTACCCTTATCTTCTCGCTTTTAAAATACGGTCTTCTGCATAATCCAATTCACCGCAATCAGGAATATCATTGGGGATGGAAGGCAGGCAGCCTTATCTTACTACTGTTTTCACTTCAAACGCCTAGCTGAGTTTTCCTTTGTGGATTACTTGACATTTGACATTGTCATATAGCTACTAAATGAGGCTGGTAAATGTGTGGCGCACTTCACTCCATAGTGCTGAAGTAGTTTCCAAATTACTTCACTGACTCATTAGTTTAGTCACTCGAATTTCAGCCTCTGAGTGGCGTATTCGAACCACATGACATTTTCCGAGGTTCACTGAACCAGGCAACACCAACAGCATACCCAAACAATCCACAATAACACATTACTGTATACATATAAATGCAAACTGTTGTTCAATAAGGCTTCTTCTTGTTGCATTTTGATTCTTTTCATTGCTGATATTATTATCAACTATAATTATTACAAATACAAACAGATACAAGCAGTTACATAATCGCTCTTCATAATGATTTGATATAATGTCACTTTGTAACGACAGAAGACCAGGGCCAGGCAACAGATCGTTTATTGAGAAAATCAAAAGATATTTATAGATTTTTATGTACATTATTGTCAGCAGAGAAGCAACCTCTTCTGATTGGTTTTTTCTTCCTGGAGGTTATTCTGTACTGCTTGTGACCGTTTTTCAGAAAGTTAAGCCACATATCTGCGAATCGTATTTGCACACGTTAAGTCTGTTGTGATTGGTTGGTTGGTGAGTTCCTCAAGGTTAGGCTTTGTTATTTTTCTCTTCTCATGACCCCCATTCGGGACGTAAATATTGACGTAAATTGTTGTCTACAATTTTGGCTAGCAGACAGCTCTCACCACAACTTCACTCATATAAGGCATGTAAAAATTGACCGGAAGTACTACCAAAATGAATGTAGTTCACTGTCTCTTGTAAACTGTTTGCCACAAATACACTTAATCACACTTATCGGATACATTTTTTTATTTATAATTATTTAAAATGTTCATTCATATTGTTACTATTACTAGTATTATTATGTAAGTAGAAATGCTGATTCATTTAAAAGTGTTACTATATGTTGGTTTACAAGAATTGAACTGGTCTCAAGTTTGACACTAGTGTGATGCCGAACTTAAACAAAAGAGATGTCCATTGCTCCGTGATTTCTACTAGTTCTCTCACCGATATCAGCTTGTGATCCGACTTGGAACCAATCAGATCCCTGCGAACAAACACATGAAAATCAGTTCACTAATAACCAGTGATTGACGATAAGACGAGGCTGTCTAGAGTTGTAGTAAGACGTCCTTACCAGTGGAATCCGCCAAGTCGAGTATGAGGACAAATACTCGTGGATAACATTTGCCATGAGTAGTCAAATGTCAGAATTCATAAGCCATTGGATTCCGTATCAGTGACTGAAGGTTCAAAGAAGTCGCCTTGTAACCTGAAGGTCCTGAGTTTATTCCCTGGTAAGAAAATCGGTGCGTACTGCTACAGAGTCCCAATGTAGGACAAAATGAATGTCCAGTACCCACTGGTGTCAATCCATGATCAGACTTGAAACCAACCAAATCCCAATAAAACAACACTTAATATTTATCTATGCTAGGATTTTATGATATACCTGAAGAAGTCAGTCGTGCCTCTATCATCGATCTGTCACTTTATACCTACTTCTTTTCTTAGAATTTAATTGCAATGGATGCCAATGGTCTATCAGATCCTTATGTTGTCTGTCAACTTCTGCCTACTAGTCATAATAGTCCTGCACCACGTACTTCTACAAGACCACAATGTTTAAATCCTGTCTGGAATGAAGCATTGACCTTTGAACCATTTGATGGGAAAAATATTAATACAAAAACTTTGAGGTAGGTTATTTGTTGATTTGTTTTTTTCCCTTTTTTTAACTTTTCGCTTGACTTTAGCTAATTACTACTTATTACTTCCTATAAGTAGATTAAGGTGAAGCAACAATTGCCTTCATATTTTGAGTTCTTAAGAATTTACATTAGTTTCAGTATAGATTTTGGTTTCTAAATGACATCAGATAAGAAATCACTAAATCCCAAGGAGCTTAGTTGTTCCGTCGTAGTGTGTGACTCTCAAGCAGTGCGTACTCATGAACTCATCAGGGATCTATCCTAACATTTTCAGTTTGAAAGATGTTCGCGTTGACCATTCAGCTCATGGTGTGGAATCAGAAGGCACTCGGATCACATTTTCCATCAATTCTCAAAATAACATCACCTCCAACTAATGCCATTGATGAGCGTCCTCTTCACATACAATATAAATCCCACCAGACATGACTTCTCAGAATATTCTTTGTGTAGTCGGTGCTTAACGTTATTTCACTTGAAACTAACGCCAATGAAAAAATGCTATCTGTGTGTTTCTAAGTTTCTTTTTTGTGTTGTTCTGTCGTAAGATTCTAAATACCTCATGTATGGATGTTGGAAACCACGGAATAATATGCATGCTTTCATGCTGAACATAACGAAGTAAGAAAAGACGGAACTCCAGCTAACCAAATTATTGAAAAAAATGAAAGATGAATCAATTAATAATAGAGAACTATATGAACAACTTCGCCCATCTAGTTCTACATCGCCACGAATGTACAGACTACCCAAAGTGCACAAAAAGGACGTCCCACTCCGTCCAGTGTTAGATATGATTAATTCGCCATATCACCTAATCGCGAAGTGGCTGGTAGGAATTCTTGAGCCGGTTAGAGGAAAGCTGCGACACATTCGATTTCGTCGATTCAATTAAAAATGTCAACCGCGCAGATAAAAAATGGTCTCCCTAAACGTAGTCTCTCTCTTCACCAATGTTCCACTGACAGAAACTATATGTTTTCTGTGTGATTTCGTCCAATACAACAGCACAGATGTCAGCATACCGATCCATTATCTAAAGCAGCTGTTACTACGTTGTACCTTCAACGTCTACCTCAGATTCAACGATGAAATCTACAGGCAAACAGATGGCGTTGCAATCAATGGGCTTTCCGCTGGGACCCCTCTAAGGCGACTGTTTTATGACCAGCCTCGGAAACAACTTCTTGTCATCGACTATCACTGACCCTCATCTTTAAAAGAGATACATTGATGGTACTTTCATCATTTGTAATAAGAACCTGGATCTTGAAAACTAACCTCAAACCTTCAACAATGCTTACAAAAACATCGACTTTACTCATGAAGCTGAATCCGACGGAATGTTCCACTTCCTAGACGTCCATCTGACAAAAAACGCTGACAACTCCCTGCAAAGATACATATACAAAAAGCCTACATGGAATGGACAATTCATCAAGTTTCAAAGCTTTGTTCCCCTAAACAGAAAGAGGAACCAAGTATACGCTCTTTCCTTGAGGATTCAGAAGACAAATTCAGCGAGGAATTAATTGACACTATCTAGCCTGGCTAGTAAAAGTAGAACGAAAATATGTCCACAGTTCAGTGACAGAACATCTGGTCAATCCAGGACATTCAGTGCCATTCGAAAAATCCTTCAAAATTATATACGAGATTCGATCAAACCTATCAAAGGGAGTGAAATCAAGACATCAGGGCATAGACGACGTACTAGCCCTCCGAAAAACTCAAACCCAGACTATGTATTCAAAGGAAATACTTCCAACCCTTGTCCCTGCTATGGCCATCATAAACAGGTTGTTCTTTTAATACTGATTATCCCATTACCTTTCTTATCCAAACTTCCTGTTTATTCATGTTGTTTTTGGGTTTTTCTTAATCCCTATTTACACTACCATATTTTCATATCCGAACTTCCTGTCTATTTTGTCACTTTATTATTTCTACATATTTAATCCCTAACTGCATAAACAATTATTCGTCACATTAGTTATGAACCCACTAGATGTTTTATCTAACTAGTGTATTTTGTTATTTCTACATTTCTAACCCCCTAATTGCACAATATATCAATCATCTCAGTAATTATAATGCTACTTTGTTTGAGTTTTATTCGTCTCTCCCCATGTTTATTACGATATTTCAATTCCTAATTGTAATTGTAATAATATGACCTTTGACCGGAAATCATTCTGGAACTTATCCACCAATTTATTATAAAAACATGAATGTACAGCCTAGTTGATGACTTCGCCGAAATGAAAATTTTCCTCACTGCAGCTGTCTTTTTATTATTCCTCATGTGTATAATCCGTGAACTAGGACCAAAAAGAATCCAGACAAGATTGAATTCTACCTGGAGTTGATTTTACTGCCATCAAAAGTTGGAAAGCATAGGTCAATGGATTTCACACCATTAGGATTCTGACTATGAGACGTGACTGTTCTAGATGCATATGGATATTCAACAGGATTCACATGGTAGGATAAATGTGAATTTCAGTGAATTCAGTGGGTTTTTTTCTCAGTAGTTCTTGAGGTTCATATCGGTTTCCGACCAAAATCTTTCAATTGGTAATAAGCCTAAATGTTTAGCGAAATGTTAGTAAACTACTCAAAATGAAGCTGTGGTCTGGTGGGAGCAATAGATAATCTAAGTGTATTGCTCATTGACAATCATCAGTAAGGCATACTTGCAATCACTCAATACCCGAGACAAAACGTTTTGCTGTAAACCAATCATGTATGGATTAAGCATGCAAATTGATGGATGGAAATCAAAGAAGTGGAGGAATACTTTTCAAGCATAGTAATAGAAAAATAAGCGTGAATTGCTTCCTGTTTCCTGAGCCGTGATATTTATTCGTGAAAGTTTCATTGCTAAGCTTCTTCCTGCACTAGAGCGTCAGAAAAGAAACATCAATCGATTGCACAATGAATTGTCAGAAAAATGGTGAGAATAATAATTTTGGATGCAACAAAGTTACTGAAACAAAGCAGCTGAAATATTAGAACCACATGCATTGAAGCAGAGGTTGACAGCGATTAAACTGACTACAAGTGTCAGCGTAAAATCTCAGGTGAAAAATGAAAGAACAGAAGAGAGAAAGTGAAAATAAACTGATCAAACTATCTGAGGCAATAGAAAAAAGATGAGAAGGATGTGTGGGTGAGTAGGCCATTATTTGAGAACAATTACTACCTAAATCAGAGGACAATATTCGCTAAACAGTGTTGAACTACAATACCTGTGAACAAAGATACACTAAATTTCTGTGCATCGATAAAATCTTCATTGAACCTTTATTAATGACTATGAAAAATGGGATTAATTTACACAATCAGTTGTTCCACTGGAAAAGAAGATGGAAAATACCTAGAAAAAGTTGGAAAAATTACAAATGAAGAATAGAGTCACATGGGAGACTTATGGGTAGACTTGTGACTTAAAATAATCCTCGCTTCGAATAATCAATCATCAGTGTAAAATGTTAGCATAAATAGTTTAAAAAAAAAGCAGGTGAAAGTGGAAATTGTTACTTCACTCTATCTGACTGATACCTCTACCTTACTTTTGATTTGTGAATGATTCCTTATCAACCTCATTCAACAACTAGTCATATGACAGTGCCACGTGTCAGGTGATCCACAACGGAAAACTCAGCGAGGTGTTCGAAGTGCATACAGGAGTAAGACAGGGCTGGCTGCCTATTATCACCGATGATATTCTTAATTGTGGTGGACTGGATTATGCGTCAGACTGTGCTTGGGAGCGAGGAGACAGGAATACACTGGAGAAGACTCTAGAAGATCTGGATTTTTTCAGATGACTTAGGTCTAATCTCACACAAACGCGAAGACTTATAGGCGAAAACCAACAAACTGGCTGAAGAAGCTGGCAGAGAAGACAGGACTCCAGGTGAACATGAAGAAGACGGAGGTGACGAAGATACCCACCAACCAACAGCTGCAGCAGCAACAACCAGCACCAATCACCATCAGCGGGAGAGATTACACAAGGTTTACCTCCTTCACTTATCTGGCCAGGAAGCATCGTTTCAGCTACAGGTGGAACGGATGAAGATGTCAAAGTCAGAATTGGTAAGGCAAGATATGCCTTCATCAACCTGAAACCAGTTTGCAAATTTTCTGCACTCACTCAGCCAGCATAAAGAACAAGATTCGGATTTTCAACACAAATGTGAAGTCAGTCAGTCACTTCTTCTATACGGGTCAGAAACTTGCACTGCGTGTCAGTCACGAAAAGGATTTCCAAAGTTGCAGACTTTCATCAACAGCTGCCCACTTCGCTGGCTGGCTCCGTACTGAAGATCAAATGGCCACCCGGCTGGCCAGAAAGAGTTAGCAACACGAAACTCTGACTGGCGACAAACCAACAGGCGAGAGCCGATTGCTCAACCGACAGATATTTTGGAGAAAATGGAGATGGATGGATTGGGCATACGCCGGCTAAGAAGACCGTCGAATGACATCGTACGCAATGCAGGCCATCGCTGGAATGGAATCCCAGTGGGAAGTGACGAGTGGGTGGTCGGTGAGAAGGTGAGATGGAGGAGATCGTGTGTCGAGGATGAGGAGGAGATGAGAGATAATGGGCAGTCGTGGAGTCAGCCAGTTGAAAAGGATAGTAGAAAATAGTAGAAAGTGGAGATGTGCTGTGGGAGCTGTATGTTTCACTCAGAACTCAAGGGAACAATAATACACTTCAGAAATATGTTATACAACAGGTATGAACAGTACCTCTCCTTTGATAGTCTATGCTTTCTCCGTTCTACTTAACTGGGATTCCATTAGCTTAGTGTTTTTTGCAAATACTTTGTGCAATACTCAGCTGTTCAACATCGACTGAATAACATATCAGTTTTATATACAACCAAATGCCGGATTCATTTATTTTAGCTCATAATTTAAAAATACACTTCCTAGCCTATTGTCTTGTTATCGTGAAATTTTATCGCATAACTGTCAGCTGTAATGTTGACTTTACATCCCATTGTGTTTGTATAACATGTGGAACAATTAAAAAGATAAAGGACAAAAGTGAATAGTACCAAACTACAATGAATGATTCTTTTGTAATGTTTTGAAATGTAAATAACAAATGGCCATTGTTTTTCTGTCAAAGAAGGCTGAAAGCTAGGCCATTTATGTATTTTATGTCTATGGTAGGAACTGATTGGCTTTCATCTAATCATTTTTATTCCAAGTATACTCATCGATTGATATCATTTGAGAACCACTGAAGTACATTCATCACTGTACTCAGGAATGAACGCAGTTTACAAGGAGATCTCGTTGACCACTGAGTCACTGGGACGGAATCCAGCATCTGTCATTTCGCGACATATAGCGCCACTGCTAGCCAGTATCATCGGGGAGTATGTGTCCTAACACCTGACCTGGTGGACCTCACTATTTGCAACTTCTCCCTGGAACTCCAAGCAACTTCGTCCTAGGTCATATCCCCTATGTGGTCATGGGTGACACTAATAAGAAATCCGAAACTAAGTTGAAATAGCTGTCCAGTACTCCCTGGTATTCAGTGGTTCTCTAACTGATATCAATCCGTGGTCAGACGTGGAATCAGTTAAATCCCCGCGAACCAACACTTAAAAATTAGTATTATTCGTCACTCATTCTCTTTGTTATCTTTCCACAAAGTGCGGAATATATATTACTGTCAATGAGACAAAATTATGACACTCATGTGTTGGTTTTCAGGGATTCGATCATGATGCCTACTCACTGACTTTAGTCACAGAACCATTGAAAACCAAGAACTACTTGATATCAGTTTCTTACTAACCTGGGACCATTCATCAATGCATCAACAACCCCCAGGATAAAACACAGTAGTTGTGGGTTACAAGGGGATCTCGTTGACCATTCTGCCACTGAGACGGAATGTAGTTACTTATTAATTCTGAATTCTATCAATTCGCGACTTTAACGTGACTGCCAGCCAATTTTATTAGTGAGTATTTGCCCTGATATTCGATCCAGTGGGACCCACTGATCACGACTTCTCAGTGGCTGCATGGTTAGTGAACTCGTCTGATAACCACCTAAAAGTCCTCGGTTCAATTTCCAGTGGGATCATAGGTGCGCAGTGGTGAAGAACCCTGAACTAGGAGGAAACAGCTGTCCAGTAATCCATGGTTTTCGGTGTTTCCTTGACTGATATCAATCCGTAATCGAACATGAAAGTGAATTGGCGTTAAGTAAATTTAAACTGAATGAATTGAATGCGATTCTGTAGAAAATATAAAATAGTGAAATCTAAATGAATTAAAATAAAACACAAAATAATCGAGCAAAGAATATTCTTTTCGATAAATTCCTCTTCCGGCTCTACAATTATATATATATGTTTATATACATAGGATATTCTAGATTAGTAGCCAATAACAATATTAGTGTTTTTTAAATAATATCTATTTGTAAAGTAAGATCAATGGAATTACCACAGTTCATTAAAGATGCTTAAATTATAATAATAATAAAGATAAAATAGCGAATAGAATATCAACTAAAATTAAGGAAATTTCACAAAAATTCCGGATTATTCAAACCTGGATGGCTAAGGTAATGATAATGTCTCCACTAAGTTCTTTTGGATGCATAAATTAGGCTTGTTAATATGGATCCTTACAGCCTCAGCAATATTTAGTAGTCGAACTCTTAAGGCAAAATTGAGATTCGTAGGTATGCGGTAAATGACCCTGAAAGCATGGTCAACGTCAGTCTTGTGTTCTGTATCCACAAGATGAGACAGAATAGCGCTGCAAATAGACTTAGTTTGTCCTTTGCTTAACCAGGCAGGGTGATGTTCGGAAATTCGACGAGAAACACGCCTAATTGTATGGCCTATGTAACTGGCTCCACAGGAGCAGTTAAATTGGTATATACACATGGAAGAGGCGAAATTAGGCAGTTTGTCTTTTATTCCCGAACGCAGAAGAGGAGTGGTTTTAAAGATACAGCGTTATTCAGCAGGGAATATTTATAAGATTTTCATCCTACTATCACAATGAAACCAGTGTTATTTATCCTATGAAGGAGATTTTAGCCCATTGTATTAACAATATTTCGGCTGTCTACATAGGTGGTGACACAGTCTCATCATTGGATTGCAAGCAACTGATTGATTTCCTTCATAGACTTAGGATCTCACAAACACCTACTTTCATCCTACGACACCACTAGTCTAATCAAGTGGCTAGTCAATTTCTGAATGTTTGAAATGAAGCCTTCCAGGGTGAATTTCTGAGAAGACAAATCGTTAACGATAAGAAATATTTGCATTAATTCTTGTCTTTTGGGCATGCGTCACTTCATTTACTACTTTCAGTTAGTAGCATACTTCGCGTCGTATATCAGAAATATTGCACAGTGTGACTGAAACTACTGCCGACCAACATAATGAATTCTGTTTAAATAATCGTTTCGACTGTTTCACATAAATGGGAGTAGATATTACTGTACTATTATATTATATTATCAATGAAATATATGTACGACTTCGTAACCATTTTCTTCCTTTCTAAACCTTTTCATCCCATTTTCAGATTAGCTGTCTTAGATGAAGATTTATACGGTTCCGACTGGCTTGGAGAATATCGTTTACAATTATCCCAATTAATCCCTAATCGTTTAACTGACTTTGCTGTCCCATTAGGTCCACGTAAACCGGTAAGTTCAACATCCTTATTGCTTCATTGGGAAGACAGTAATACAGATTACTGAGTGGAGAATTGATTCTTTTTTGGTGCCTTCCTCTTTCTGTCGTGTGCTTTTTAAATGATAATGCTCGACAATACTATTTATTTGTTTTTGAATAAAAAGGTACCGTTTCATGGAAAAGCTGTTTAGATGAAACATAATTATCTGATCACAGGCGTATTTCATATATGTTATGAAGTTAGTTTTAGAGTCTTATATATCCATCTGCACGCCGAGTTTTTAAATGAACTCCAACCGCGAAAATGTGCTTCTAACTCTTTCAAAAGTATGTATAAATATTGAATAAAATTATTTCTCAGCCAAGAGAATAAGAATGAAAGACACAGATATTTCATTCAGGCGACTGTCAATATAGCAGCTATTTAGCAGGCTAGAAGAGAAATTCACTTATACATGGATATCATAATAAAGAATGATTATAAGGGCGGTATACTGTCTGTCGTTTTACAACAGTATATGTTACATTTTCATACATGTTTAGGAAGTGCATTGAGGTTCAAAGAAGCACCTAGAGCTATTTAATTATTATTCCTTTGGGTTCCAAATAGAACATAGGGCCTCAACAGCACATATCCATTTTGTGCTGCTCTTCACAGTCCTCTTTGTCTGGCTTCACCACCGCTTACAGGCTTTCTTATCCTCCTCACATGATATGATCCATGTCGTCCACGGACCAACTCCCAACTCGTTGTTTACCATTTGGGTGTGTTCAATACATCCCCAGTTCCCACAGCATTTGGTTCTCGATTGGTTCGTTCCTAAAGTTTCTTGTTGATGACCACTTTTTGGACATCTGGTCTTCATTATGGAGCCAGCGAAGAGGGCTGTTGATAGAAGTCTGGATTAGCCTTTTAGAAATGCTTTCCGTGACATGAGCGCCAAGTTTCTGACCCATATAGAAGAACTGACTGACTAAACATTGGTGTTGAAAATTCGAATTTCGTTGTTTATTGTGACTGACTTCTAGAGATTTCCAAGGTGATTTCAGAGTGATGAAGTCCTGTCTAGGCTTTCCGATTCTAGCTTTGACATCCTCATCTGTGCTAGTAAAAATGTCACCGGGGTAGATGGGTGTTTTTGAAAACGAATCTATAAATCATATAACTTCTGAACCAACAATTCCTAGACTGACAGTCACTAGACTGATTTTATATCATAACTTAAACAAAATCCACTAAATCTAGGACCTGGTGACGCTCAAGTTAGTTCACAGTTCTAACTGTGTAACTTTGCAATGCATATTTTAGCAAATATGAAATTAAGGAGTAACAGTATTACATACTCATGATGGTATATACTACTAACTCATATGAGTAGTGTGAAACCACTCTTGACACAGTTAGCCAGCTGTGTACCTGGTCTGACTCAGCTGAAACAACCGAACCAGTTCCATCCACTCATTAATATATGTGTAAAACTTGGGCACTGTGGTAGTAAGTAATTCCATATTAGTTTGTTTATTAGGTATATCACACAGTGAAACAGTATTATTCACTGGATGACGTTTCGAACAAAATTTATTGCTCATAATCATATCAATTGTGATCACACGTCTTTGACACTTGAGTTTTATAGTTTTCTTTGTTCTCTCCTATTTTTCGTAGGGGTAGTAGTAGAATTTTCCAGATATCGGGGACAGGTGATGAATCATTCCTATTACATGTATTTGCAGTTGATTCGATAAACAAAGCTTCTGTTATCAATCTCTCCCTCCACCCTGTGACATTAGATTTTAAAACTGTCATCCTATCCCATCCATCCTATTGTATGGTTGTGTGTAACTGCATTCAGTGAGTGCTATAGCTGAACTATTCTCTAAATTTCTTATCTTATTCGGTTCAACCAACCTAGATTTTGCCAGGATTTTATGTTCGGCTAGTCTGACTACCCCTGTTCTACTAGTTTGACCTATGTATTTGACCTGACAATCATTGTAGGGTATTAGATAAACTAAATTGTTTTGTTTTAAAGGTTCCACAGGATCCTTTAACCGACAAAGCTTGTTTCTAATTGAGTTTGTGGGTTTGAATGCCATTTTTATTCCTGCTTTGTTCGAAACGTCATCCAGTAAATAATACTGTTTCACTATGTGATATACCTAGTAAGCAAACTAATATGGAATTCATCCACTCATGTTCTAGCTGGCTACCTTTGACAAACTAATAATTCGTAGAATCAAACCAGCTGTTCGCAAATTACATAATTTTGGATCACTCCATGGGGTCTAAGTTTGGTCGCGCATTGACATCAATTAGAGAACTGCTGGAAAACCATGGAATACTAGACGACTGTGACTGTTCAGAGGTACGCACCCATCAGAGTACTAGTTCAGGACCTTCTGGTTACAAGGCAAGCTCGTAGACCATTCAGACACTCTATAGGATCTGAATACTTTCAGCTGTAAAAGGAAGCCGTGGTGAACCTTTACTCCAAAATGTCTAATGTAAAAATAGCGAATTAGAATCTAACTGTTACATAATCATATAAACATTTCACTTTTGAAAATATACTCTTTATCAGGTACAACGTGGTGAATATGATCTCGCCTGTCCAACACGTGGAAAAATTCAACTTGGTCTTGGCTACCTAGAAGATCGTAAACAATTATACGTTGAAGTAATACGATGCGCTGATCTAGCTCCAATGGATCCTAATGGTTTCTCTGATCCTTTCGTAAAACTGTAAGTCTTCATGTTTATTTTCTAACTGTTTTGTAAGTAAAAAAGGTATCGTCCAACATTTTGGTGGTTGGGAATTGAGATGTAGATTCAAGTCATTCGATAATTCGAAGCAGTGGCTCCTAGATTATTCACCAGTCACTTTATAATCAGGTTTATGGGTTCGCTTCTAGTGAAGAGAAATCTCAGTGACGTAAATGAAATCAGGACCTGTTTAACACCTTTGTTTCGTAGCATACTTATCAAAAGATTGAGGTTCTTACTTCCTTATCCAGTCATAAAGCTTTTCTTCTGAAAATGATTTAAACTAATAAGAATGCCTAGTAATGTAATAGTCTAACCAAAGAATTCAGAAAATGATGTCAAACCTATATTTCGTTCTCACCGACTAAATTATTCGTAGTAGGAATTAGAGCATTAATATCACAGAACGTTTGACTCATTTGTATCGAATTTCCATACATAAGCATATTTCAATTTAATTGGTGGATGGTGACTAGCAGTGGAATTCTGGATGCGCATCTCGTCCTATTTGGGGTTCGTTACCTGGATATACCTGCATTCCCCAGTGAGTGATGATGTTCCCACCGAGGCTCGAACCCAGTGCCCATAGTTTCAAACGCCAAAGTGTTATCCACTAGACCACTTGGGCCACGATAGCCACCTCTTGTGCAACGGGTCATATTAATTATTTAATTCAATTTTAGATTTCCCCACAGATCGACTGGTCGGAAGCGCCCGGTCTCAGGTTGACGTGTCTGCTTCTTGTGCAGATGCTTCGACGATGTCGGACCAAGTAATTAGAAGATCTCCTCCATGTCACCATCGAATCAATGTTCATTTCGTCATTTCTCACTTGGGTTTCGCCCAAGCTCAGGTCTGAAGAGTGACGTCATTCATCCGTCTCCTCACTGTGTGTCCGATCCATCTCCATTTTCCTCGGAATATTTCTGGAACAATAGGTTCTCCATTAATTCGTTCCCAAGACTTATTGTTGCTAATCACCTTCTGGCCGGCCATCTGATCTTCAGTATAGGGCCAGTGAAGGCAGCTGTTGGTAAAAGTCTTCAGTAGCCTGTTAGGAATGCTTTCGGTGACGCGCAAAGTTGCTGACCATATAGAAGCACTTAATTAACAATTCTATTGAATATCCGAATTTCTTCCTTTTTGTTGAGTGCAGGAGACTGTCGAACTGATTTCAGAGTGGTGAATGTCTGACTCGCCTTTCCGATTCCGGTCTTGACATCCTCATCCGTGCTGTCACTGTAGTAGTTGAAACGATGCTTCCCAGATAAGTGAAGCAAGTGACCTCTTTCAAGTTTCTTCTGTTGACAGTGACTGGTATTTGTTCTTGTTGATGTCGTTTTATGCGTGTTCCCTTGAAGTCCTGTCTTTGTTGCTTCTTCTGCCAGTTTATTGGTCTTCGCCTGCAATTTTTCAAATTTATGTGACATCATGCATGAATCATCTGCAAAGTCGGGATTTTCAACAGTCTTCTTATCGGTCCGACGTATTCCCGTTTTCTCGCTTCCCAGAGTCTTCCTCATAATTCAATCCACTACAGATGTAAGTTTTTCCACAGTTTTCTCTAATAACTAAGATACGCCTCAAATATTGCTTTTGAACGACGTAGATAACGTCAAGCAAAGCAAAATCAGTGAAGAGACGATGTACGCCATCAAATTATATCAATACATAATACTTTGTAAACTCTGTCAGCATGCGGAACAATGAGTTATTTAATATTCAACCCTAAGACCTAGTACTGTCATTACTATTTTAAGACGGGAAGGCTAATAAACTTTGAGGCTTTCATTCTACAACTTTGTGGTTATCAAAGATTGAAAATAAAAGCCATCAACTAAACTGTATACTCAAGTCATCTTACCAGAAGTAAACAGGATTTCTGAAGCTCAGAGATTTGTGAATTTGACACCCAGTTGAAGTGTCATAAACAGGCTGAAAGTCTAAGTTACTAGTTTATGCAGTTGCTAGCACTAGAATCCAGGATATTCATTTCGTCCTATACGGGACTTCCTAGCTGGATGTACCTGCACCTACTGGAACTAGAAGCTGGATGCCATCGTTTCAAGCTACTGGACCACCAGCAGTCAAGTGGTTTCGAGTTATTATTAACATTCCAAGAAATATCAAGCAGCTCGTGCGTCAGAGTACGCCACTGACCAATTTTGTCTGCATAATTCAGCGGGTAATCAGCACATACGAATGAATAGATTAAAAAAGCATTTAGAGTGAGAACCATCCCAGTAGCATCAAGCGTATGGTTTGTCAAAACAAGCTGCATTTAATGTCTGTCTGATGTCAACTTAACTTTTTTCGAATTCATATTTTCTTTCTTTATCCATCACTAAACGAAACAATAATATTCCTACAGATTGAGATTTTACTGCATATAAGAAATGACCTGCTCATTTTTTATAGAGGGGATTTAATTTGTCCCCGATTTAAAATTTAAACCTATTTTTATTTAAAATAAAAATAGCAAGAAAAGGGAAAATATTTATCCCATCTAGGTCGACGATGAATGAATGACTTTTGTTCAGATTTGACCCAAAATTCTTGCATAAGCGGAATGAATGCCCAACCTATATACAGATTTCCTTTATATATATGTGTATTTAAAGGAATTATAATCCTGATTTATTGGAAATCAATAAAATTTGAAATATTCACCTGAAAAGTTAAGAATAAATACTGGTTACTTTTCTTGGAAGTGAAGTAATGACTTCAATGTTATTATCATGTGTCTTGAGATAAAAAGCTAGATAGGACATGAATCAAATTATAACTTTACTCACCTCTTCCCTGTGACCAGATAGATTTGTAAGTAATGTTAGTGGATTCCGTGGTACTTTTAAACCTGCATTATTTAAGTTCATCAGAACTAACCGTACGGAGCCAAGCCTCGTTGTTTTTAGACATTGAGCTTACAGTCACTGTGTCACAGCTTCAGACCACGCCCCATCTATCTAAGTTTAAGATGGTAGATATTATCAGTGGCCCTTACACGCACACACACACACATCCACAAGCATTAGGTGTGGCTCATCGCCATGTGGCTACATATACTAATGGTTATTGAGTAACTGTCCTTAGGCATAATTCAAATACAGTCAATAATGAATGCATTTCAGTACTTTTTAAGCTTAGGAAAGAGATGAATATCCCCCATTAAGATTTTTAAAAATGAAGAGGCGTCGATGAAGAGTTACTTTTTTTTAAATATATCATTCACCAGGTGAACAATCTCATATATATGTATATAATACGTTGTCATAGCAACAAAAAGACACTTTTTTAAGATATGTGATTAAAATTCTTTTGAGTTCAAGTAAGATAGTAATTAAGCGATTCTAAAGAAAACTCTAGGGAAACTCAATCAAAGTTAGGTAGATTGATTGATGTAATGTACTTGACAGAAATGAGTACAGTCCAATGAAAGCTACTGACCCAAACTAAAAACAAGTGCCAATCACTGTCGATGGAAGAAATCTGAAGGAAATCACTCCCTTCATTTATCTAGGCATCCCTGTTTCAACTACAGGCACTCGGAATGGATGCGGATGTTGAAAGCACAGTCGAAAAAGTAAGATAGAACTTCGTCTTTCTGAAATCTGTTTGGAAATCTTCTGTACTCAACATAAAGAGTAACATTCGGATTTTCAACACGAATATTGAATTAGACAATCTTTGCTGAAGGGGTCACAAAAAACATTTCAAACAGGTCACTTCAGACCTTTATCACCAGCAGCGCATTCTTCCTGCATACTGAAGATCAATGGTATTAGACGGTTGGAGGCGATCGGCAGGAAGCCTTGGCTAAACCTATGTTTCGTGCTAGTTGACACTCATCAGGAAGGCGTATCTACAACCTCGAAGGCACTCATTTCCCTTTTGAGATTCGAACCCGCGACACCCAGTGCTGCCAGCAGTCGGAGACGTTGCCACTAAGCTATTCATGCTTGCGATTGTCCTCCTGTAGGAGTGTATTGAATATTCTTGATTGGACACTAGTCAGTAACTAGTGTAATGTGTCTGGTCCTATCTTCGGTGCAGACTGAATTCTATCAGTCAGGTTTGCAATGCTAGGCCACCATGCTAGGTGGCTCGCCATCACCGTGTACATTGGTTTTATGATATTAGATTGTAAACGTCTCTGGCTGCAGGCAGCGCTAGGTGACGTGGGTTCGAATCTCAGAAGGGAAATGAGTTCCTTCGAGATTGCAGATACGCCTTGCTGAAGAGTGCCAACTAGCACGAAACCTAGGTCCAAGCGGGGCTTCCTGCCGATTGCCTCCAACCATCTAATATCATCACAAACAATGTACACCGTGATGGCGAGCTACCTAGAATGGTGGCTACATTACAACCTGACTGATAGAGCTCAGTCTGCAGCGAAGATAGGACTAGACACATTACACTAATTACTGACTAGTGTCCAATCAAAAATACTGAAAATCAGATGGCAGGCCAACAAAAATCAGAAACAGGGAACTCTGGAAACGAACCAACCGAAAAATCACTGCTAAAAAAATATCCCGAGATGGATCGGAGGCACACTCCAAGCCATCGCTCAGGTGGAACCCGAATGACAAACTACGAGTTAGACATTGGCTCGAGGGTGACATAAAGAAGACGAGAGAATATGTGCAATCGTGAAGCCAGTTGAAGAACACAGCAAAACAAAAGGACGAAGTGAAGATGTGCTTTTGAAGCCTTACGTTTCACTCGTAATCTAAGGGAACAATCATAATTAAAATCAGTTCAAAGAAGAAAGTCAGGTCAACAGTGATCCTGTGTGTCATCAGGACAAAAGGTATTATAATGGGGGAGAAGACAGAATACAATAAAATATAGCCATTACAAATTAAAATTTGTAAAAAAAAACTTTAAAATTAACTTCTTCTTGAGTACAAGTAATCACAGAATTTAGAGAAACAGTTTCTCTGTGCTGTGAGCACAATGAATAAGCGGTTAACAGATTAAAGCACGATAAAACTGGAGAAACCTTCACTATTAAAATGTATAAATCAAGACATTCTGTGCTCAGAAGGAAATAGTGGACACTCTGAAGTTATCTATCTTCCCCTAATGTCAGCAAATCAAAATCCACTGATCATAGACTATGTAGGCTGCTTACACCAGATTGCCAGCGTAATGGCTACACCCTTGCAGACATGTTCTCTGATGGGTAGATTCTGATTCTCTGATATTAGAGTCGACTAGTTAATTATGGCTCTTTTTCGTTGTGGTGCATATATTATAATGATGACCACTTGTCATTTAGATTATTTTTCGACTTAAATCCAACTATCTTTTATCATTACTGTTTAAGCCTTCCTTACATTCGTTTCCTATTCCCTGTCTTGTTCTTACCTCCACGCTTAACTGTTTTCAACCACCAATCTGTCTGTAGGTGTCTCATATTACTTAGCAGGTTTCCTTTACACAGTGACGCAATTTATTCTTGATGAAAAACAAATTTCTCTGTCGAATTTTGATCACTTCTCCCAGATAACCTGCATCCCTCCCCTACCTTAATTTAACTCCATTTTCATCTTTGTTTCGTTATGGTTTATTCAATTTCTTAGCTTTTAGCATATTTATATACCACCTCCTCCCGCCCACCTCGTATCATATGTCACATAAATAACTAAGCGTGTACAGTACTCAGGTGATATTTTATACTGAAATTGTATAAATTTCAAGTTTGATCCCGAATTGATAACAATTAGAGAACCATCCTTGTTTGCAAATCATCGAAAGTGAGCGCGCAAAAGGGGTTCAAACACGGGACCTCCGAGTAGGCCATTCATCCACTGGAACCCAATTCAGCGGCCTATGAATTTCAAATTCTATGAACTAGTGATTTCAGTGCAACTATTCGTCCTCACTGCTGACCTGGTGGACCCCACTGGTTATGACTTCTCATTAGAACTCCAGTCAGCTTCGCCTTGTAGACAGTCACTAGGGAGCTTCAGATTAATTTCCAATACTTAGTTTGTAGCCATTTGGTTTGTTTCAAGCTTGAATTCATGGGCTATTGAGACGCGTCCCAGTGGCTGAATGGTACACGAGCTTGCCTTGTAACCGGAAGGTCCTGGGTTCGAAACCCAATGGGTGCATACTGCCGATGAGTCTCAAACTGGTGTGGAGCAGCTGCCCAGTACCCCTTGGTTTTCACTGCTTCTCTAGCTGATATCAATCCCTCGTCAAACTTGGAATAAATCAAATCCCAACAGGCTAATTCGTATAAATTTACTAAGTACTGGATTTTTTGAGCATTTTTGCTGCTTTCCTGAAACTGGTGCAATTACGGTATTGCTAAGGTGTAAAAATTACTGATGTAGAGGCATATTTGGAAGTTGGAACTTTATCTAACTTGGTGTGTCTGACATTTTTCGTCTATGAAATACCAATGTTGCTTTTATTATTATTTTTCCCTTGGGTTGTGAATGGGACATGCAGTTTGGGCAGCACGTATCCATTTCACTCTGTTCTCTGAAGTCTTTTTAAGCCGGTTCCCCAATATCCCATTAGCTTTCCTTTTCTTCTCACACGATCTCCTCCATGTCACCGTCAGACCCACGATCAACAACTCTCCACTTGCCATTTTGGTACAGTTGAGAGCCTAGCAAATGATTTGATCCACTGATCTTCTCAGTAGATATCCACCGATCCATCTAGGCACATACTTATTGATAAACAAATAAGAATGGTAACTGATACAGCCTACTTGGTCAGAAGTAGTGAGGAAGGCTTCTCACCGATGAGAGACATTGGTGTATAGTTTTATTCCTCGCCTAAGATCCTGACCATTTTTGAGTCCCATTCTAGAAAATTATGAACGATAAAATTTATTGGATTTCCATGACACCTTCAACAGATGTCATATCATCATTGAACCCAACTTCATAGGTATCCAATTTAGGCACAAAAATGTAAATGATGATATGTGGACAGATAAACAGTGGTTTATGCTTCATTGTTGATATGGTGATCAAGGTCAGTCTGGAAACAAACCAATCAGGATCGTTCTACATGAGCATATAGAAAACTATATGCTCGCACCAGCAAGTACAAAAACTCAACCATACCCTACTTAGCTCGTGTTCTGTGCGATAAAGAAAGCACTAGGCGTGACACCTATAATTCATTAAATAGTCAGTAGTACAACTGGATCTCGTCTTTCTAACCCACATCATCAATAGGTACAACATTTTCTTTCTTTCTGTTCCTTTTCTCTCTCTTCTTTTTCCGTTATGTGCTGCTTTGTCTCTTTCTCTCGCTTACGCCTGTTAATAAGACAGCTCCCACTTTTCTAACAACTTCAAACACTGTTTCAGCTTTACCTTTGCTACTGACATGCCAATGTATTGTTGTAATAATGAACTGTTGGTTTCCTCAATCTATTTAGAATTCTATTTATTGATCATGTACTAACTGGATGCAATACTGCAGTAAAAATGCTGAGAATTCCATTCTGTATCACAAGTACTGTTTTGGAATAAAGCAAATTATTATTATTATGAAATAAAACCCACTATTCGATTGACCATGATGAAGACAAATTTCGCGATTTCGTAGTTTCCTTACAACCGCTTTGCAACTAACATGGTTAACAATAATAAAATAAAATGCATGACAATTACGCAGTTAAATAAAAACAAAAGTACACACTCATGACCAATCATATTTAGATAGGTCATGTAGTCCATGATAGACGAAGATTGAAGTCTATTGTGTTTTTAGTACACATAGTTTAGGCTGTATGTGATTAATCCAAAGTGTTTCCATCAGCTTTAATGACCAACTTTGAATTAGAGTTATGTGAAATAATTGTGAAACAGTCATTAATATTGATTGATTTTGTGACCTGACATTAATAAGTGTTTTGCAATGGATGATGCTGGATTTCTATTCAGATTACTCACATTGGGATTTTCTATATGATTTAGTAACCATTTTGGAACATGTTCTTTTCGACGACATTGCAATATTCTATTGATTCTACCTATATAGGTGTCAGCGCAACTGCAGGTGAACTTGTAGATACAGTTTGAAGTAGAGTCCACAGAATTTCATCCTTTAATCGTAGGTACAGGGATCGAAAATGTTCGAGGTGTGAGAAAAAGAGATGCGGCGTAGAATGTGCGTTTGATGGCTGACCGAAGTCTTTGAGCTGTCAACTGCATAATCTGGTCACCCTTGAATGGTAGGTTAATAAAGATAGCTTTCTTTGGTACAGAAGCTGTCTTTTCGAGATGTGGTCTATCCTTACTGTGACAAGTGATAAAGTTTTCTGGATAACCATTAGCTAATAAAACTGAATGTATGTGTCGAAACTCATCCATCACTGTGTCACTCCATTAACGGGAACGTTTATACTGGATTGGAACGAAACTGGTAAAATGAAGATATTGTCCACTCCATGTCTGTTTACGAAAAATAGATCGCTGAATCGTTCCATCATCTCTCCTGGTCATTGTAATATCGAGGAAACCGAGTTTGTTATTCGATTCGAGTTCGGAAGTCACTCGGATGTTTGGATGAATACGTCGGTGGCACAGTGGTTAGGACTCTCGCCGACCATCACATGGTCCGGGGTTCGATCCGCTGCCGACGCACACCCGATATCTATGGTCGGCCTGCAAAATTTGGGCTACCGATATCCATGCTGAAAATGCCATACTTGTACTGAAAATACGGTGTGGCATCAAGCTGTAATAAAAAAAGATTAAATAGGGTAATAAAGTTTTCAATAGATTTACTTTTATTACCAATAATGAGAGTATCATCTACATAACGTTTATACAGCATAAATTCTCCAAGTATACCTTGCATTTGTTTTTCCAATTTCGACATGAATATATCATCAATCGTTTAACAGGAAATCCATCACTATTCCGTTTTCGTCATACACACGCACATGCACACGCAAACACACACGAAATATTCCCAGTACCGTTAAAAAGGTATTCCAGCTAATGTATGTTTGATTTCTTCTGTTTTCCCCTCGTTTTTTTACCACAGTTACCTTCGACCGGATAAAACAAAGAAAACGAAACAAAAAACTCAAATTAAAAAGGCCACACTATTTCCTGAATTTCATGAGGTAAGTAATGAATGCTGAATTGTATTCACTAATATCTATGCTGATTAAGCTAAAGGATGTTTTTGTTTTGTTACTGAATACTATTCAGCCATCCCTTGATATTCATAAATTTGGTGCAGTAGATCAATGACTAAATGAAGACAAACGTTTTTAGTATGACATCAGTGAAGAGTTGCTTGATGACACTGAAGTAGGTGTCGAAAAATTTGTCCAGATAGACAATAAAAGACTAAGAATTAATTCGATCAGCTGAGAGAACAAAACTATACCTATGGGGAAAATCCACTTGAGTTACAAGTCCTCTCAATCATTCCCAAAGTAAAGTATGCAATGACAGTTAAACCAACATAAATCTTGAGGAAGTTCTTGTAATCATTGGATTGAATTTCTAGGTCGCCAGCCGTGCATCCCAGCTTCCAAGGTTTTCCAAGCTCAAGACCGGCAATTGAACTAGTGAACCAGTTAGATAGACGAGAAGACTGCTGAGTAATATACTGCACCAAGCGGTTGAGTGGAACCCGAATAGGAAGCGATGATGCTGTCACTATCCGATGCTCAACTCGTCGTTTCCCATTCGGGTTCCACTCTGAGGCCAGGCTAGCGATCTCAGTCAACAGTTTTTTCAGAGTGTGCTTGATCAATCTCCGATTTCTTCTGTATATTTGTTGGGAAATAAGTTCCTAGCTGGTATAATTCTAGAATTCCATATTGGTTATCTTTTCTGACCATTTTATCTTCAGAACTAAGCTGGTGAAGCCATTTGCTGATGAAAGCGTGTAGCCTGTAGAGAATACTTCCCATGATGCACCAAGTATCTGAAGCAATATAAAAGTACCGATGTGATATTACCGTGGGGAAATTTGGATCTTGTTCATTGTGAATGTCTACACCGATTCCAGGGTATTGATGAATGCCAGTCTTGCCTTCTTGATTCTGGCTTCAAAGCACACAAACGGAAGAATTCATGATATAGTATCACAGGAATCTAGTAACAGTCTAAGGTAATCTTAATAGTCATGGAATCGAAAACCATCTCAAAGCTACAGAACAAAGACCACTGGATTAATTAGTAATCACACTAACTCTAAACTGTAGCAACTTTAATGAACGGACGTAATAATGACCTTGACCAGCCAATCAGATGAGCCCGTAGTGAATACGGAGAATTATGGATGGATGCAGTACACGAATTATGCCGCAGATTCCATTCAGATCTAATATTTCAGTAGTATTTGGATAACAGACTCATAGGAAGAGATAAAAACTGTGGATTTGGAGGAGTAATGCATTTACAGAGATATGCAGCCGCTACTGATGGGTAAGTGTATAGATGCCCAGATTGTCGTAGTAGAAAATCCACTCGAGAAGATGTATCGTTCTTCTTCAGATTTATGGAGACTCTACAAGCATTTTCTTCGCCAAATTGAAGTCGCCTTTAACAAAAATTCTGATGATGTGACACGAATGGGTGTTGAAAAGACCATTAACAGCAACACCGTTCGAAACAAAAAATTCACAGGTGTCTGTAGTGCAGTGATATCAGCACTGTAGAGATGCTACTTCATGGAAAATGAATAGTAAGACTCAGATACTTGGTGGCGTCGGCGTTATTGTTCATGTGGACGAAACTGCATTCATAAAAAGGAAATATAATCTAGGTAGACTGAATGCCAATCAGGAACTGGCTTGGTCGCTCAATAAACACTCCAGTAAGGAATTGGGAGGTTTTCTTGGAAAGCATACAAGAACATTGCCCTGTATAACTAACTACTATGTAACACTACATTAGATTTCTATAGAAAACATTCTAAATTACGCGCTTCTACTTTGGATTCATGTGATTGGTTGACAGACTTATCAAGGTCACTATGATGGTCATTCGTTTGTGTCGCTATAGTTTAGATTTACCATATTCATACCTTAGAATTTCAAACACTAATCTTTTTGAAACATGATAATTCAACTAAAACAAGCTATTCCATAACAGCGATAAATTTTCCTAACCCATTCCCGCCTCTTTTTTCCTTTGATGTAGACCTTCTTTTACGACTTGAATGCATCTGAAGCGGGTAGTCGAACACTTGAAGTAACAGTATGGGATTTTGATCATGGACCAAGTAATGATTTCATCGGTGGATTGACATTAGGCGCAGGTGCTAAAGCTGAACGAAGAGAATTATGGTTGGCGGTATTTCGTCCACCGTATCGTCGTATTGAAGCCTGGTTCCAGTTATCTAATCGTACTGAAAATGGTAATCAATTTACAACACCTGGAGTCTGTGATTGAAAGAACCAACCTACCATCGATGATGATAATAGTGATAATAATAATTTATTTTTTCACATATTCACTATAAACTATTTATTGATTGATTTTTTCTTACTTTTCTTTTCCATATTTCATGATGTTGATGTTGTTAAAATGTGATAATTACTCGTTAACGATCTGCATACACTAAGATTTTAAAATTCCTTCACATTTATCTATACTGTCTTTCATTTCTAAATTTGCATTTATTGTACAAAATTAAATAAGGTCACAAAAAAAAAACTGACAAAATGTCCTCTCCTCTAACAAAAATGCGCGTGTCCCTGTATATGTCATTGTTATTCGCTTTTGCGTCAGTGGAAAATCTACTGAGTCGAAAGACGGAAGCACAAAATTATTACTAATATTGTTATATCGATCCATGTATTGTTTTATAATCTTCTCAGATACCCAATGTACTCTACTCTGTCCTCACACACTGCATAAACACACACATAAACTTCTGCCTTTTAACAGTCCTAATCCATTCAAATATTCAGCTGACTTATCTCTCTAACGAACTGATAGGTTATACACGATATTTAAATTATTCCTGTGTTTATTTCGTTGTCATAACAACATTCGTTCATGTTGTTAAATTTATATGAATTTAAACAAAGTTATTGAACATTGAATCGATTAATTCATCAATTAATTAACTGACTGACTGATTGATTGATTGATTGACTGTCTAACTTTATCTTTTTTAAACATTCGTATAAGTTTTTAAAAAAGTTGTAAATGCATTTATTGTTATGCCTATTCAAGATTAATATAATTAAAATACACACATAAATATTTATCTTTTATGCGATAAAAATTGACGAAAAATAAACATTGGGCATTGAACACTTGTTTGTTTCTTTATTTATATAAAAGTGAGAATCCATCAATGATTAATAAACAAATTAATTAATTAATTAAAACTCAGTTAATCGCATGTTGTTTACTGCTAATGTGTTTGTCAGTTTCTTTTTACAACGGTTTTATTTTCTTTTTTATAAAATATTTTTTTCCTCAGAATTAATTTTAATCAACTCAGATTTAATGTTCGATTGATTTCCTTTTTACCTCTCTTTCTTTCTCGCTGTGTGTTTTCTTATCTTTGTCTTTTTTTCTTATTTTTAAATTGAAAACTGTAAAAATTTATGTAAACAAAATGATATTTTAATCCTTGTTTCATACTTTAATTATCATTGTTCATGCATATATATATATAAATGTGTGTGTATGTGTGTTATGTGTTTGTCCGAAGTATTCACGTATTATTATTTTTTTCTCCTCTTGTCTTGTTCATGTAAGATTAAATATATTTATAATAATAAGATTACAAAATCATGCATTGTGTTGTTTGTGACGTAATCAACCAGCATGGAAAACTGACAGTTATGGAGTGGCTAGCTCAAAACGAATTCACGGGGTGCATTTATGTTTGGAAATGTGTGAACAGTGCTTCTTGACTTTTTTTAGCAGTTCTCTAATTGATGGTGAATTGTAAGGATGTATGTGGCGGAGGACGCACGCATATACAGTGATGGTGAAATGTTTTATTGGTTGGAGGATTTCATCATCAGCTGACATCAGTTAGAGAACCATTGGAAAACCTGAAAGTACTGCCAGACAGCTGTTTCATCAGCCTGGCTTGGGACTCTTTAGCAGTACACACCCATCCAGCTGGTAGACCAGTGGTTGGGACCCAGGGAATAAATGGTCTACGAGCTCGCCTTCCAACCAGAAGGTCTTGTGTTTGAACCCCGGCGAGTGTGTACTGATGAAGAGTCCTAAACTAGGCTGATGAAACAGCTGTCTGGCAGTACTCCCAGGTTTTCCAGTGGTTCTCTAACTGATGTCAGCTCATGATGAAATCCTTCAACCAGTCAAAACAAAATCCCTACAAAACCAAAACTTCAAAAATTTCATGTTTTCTCTACTGGTTAACCTTCTTATCAGTCCTCTTATTTACAACTTAATATTGTCTCTTTGTTATTCAGAATCCTTGCAGAAGACGTAATATAGTATTATCATTCTCTCGGGTTACAAGTGGAAGGAACGTAAGGCCTCAACAATACATTGCCATCTCACTCTGCGGTCTATTTCAACTGGTTCCACTTCTTCCCATAGGCTTTCATTTCTGACCCACATGATCTCCTCCAAACTCGTTGTTTCCCATATCGGTTCCATACGAAGACCTAGAGTGTAATCAATGAGCAGTAGATTTCTACAGTGACCTCAGACTAATGTAGGTCTCTCTTGCCTTTCTGATACTGCTTAACTCTGACATCCTCATCTGTACCACTGCCTATATAAGCGAAACTCCTTTTGGACTGCACCCGTTGGTAATGACTGGTGCTTTTTGTTAGCGATGGTGACGGTTAGAATATCTCCATCACCCGTATCTTGTCTGTGTTCACTTGAAGTCCTGTCTTTGCTGCTTCTTCCACCAATTTCTTTGTTTTCGCCCTTAGATCTTACAGTTTTAGTGATGATATTAGAAATAAATGATCCAAGAAAGCCTAGATCTTTCACTGCCTTTTTGTTGATCAGAAGTATATCCATCTTCTTGACAGTTATGGTTTATGTCACCAGGTGAAATGAACTCGTCGCTAATTTGCTATGGACCTGTCGTCAGTTGATGTGGTCGTGTGGACAGCTGATATGACTGAGTAGACTTATGCGTTGGTATAATAATCCCAACGCAATGGACAACTTAACTAATGTGCTAAATACACCTAACTGTCCGAGGCACCTTCTGCACTTTACTAAGCCATGTAAAAATATCAAAAGACAAAGGCTGGCCTGTGACTGCTGGATACAATTTTATTAGGAAAAAGAGCACGTCATATTTATATATTTTTAACCACATTAAAATTTGGATAAGTCAGTGAGAATTAAATATTCTAACTGATTGACGATTTGACCTAGACCAAGGTGAAGAACCTAGAAGACCTGGATTTCGCAGATGGTTTATGTTTGATGTCACACAAAATCGAAGACTTACAAGTGAAAATCGACAAACTGGTTGAAGAAGCAGCCAGAGAAGACAGGACTCCAGGTGGACATAGACAAGATGGAGGTTATGAAAGTAACCAACCGACAACAACAATAGCAGCAGCAACATCCAGCGCCAATCACCATCAACGGGAGGGATTTGATGAAAGAGGTTACTTCTTTCACTTATCTAGGGAGCATTGTCTCAACTACAGGAGGAACGGACGACGATGTCAAATCGAGAATCGGGAGGGCGAGAAACACATTCATCAACCTGAAACCAATCTGGAAATCTTCGTCACTCCTCAGCATCAACAACAAAATTCGGATTTTCAATACAAACGTCAAGTCAGTCAGTTCTTCTATACGTATGGATGAGAAACTTGGCGGGTCACAAAGAATATTTCCAACAGCCTGTTACAGACCTTTATCAACAACTGTCTTCGCTGGCTCTATACTGCAGATCAGATGGCCGGAAAGAACCATCAACAAGAAACTATGGGAACGAACGAAACAAGAACAAAACAATCGCCCAACAAATATGCAGGAGGAAGTGGAGATGGATCGGACACTCGCTGAGGAGGCCGTTGGGTGACATTGCGCGTCAGGCCAACGCTCGAGTGGAACCCGAAGAGGAAGCGGTGAGTGGGACGCCCAAGGGTGAAATGGAGGAGATCGTGTGAAGAGGAGCTGAAACAGTATGGACTAACATGGATGCAGGTGAAAAGTACAGCAGAAGAGAGAAGCAAGTGGAGACGTGCAGTTGAAGCCCTATGTTCGACTAGCAACCCAAGGGAAGAATAATAATAATAAGGTAGGGAAAAGATGATGGAATTTTACAGTCATCCTGTCACACGATGAATCGCATGATGAATCATACGATGATTGCTGTTCTAAACCAATTCCTGCCATTTATCTATACAGTTTCTCGCATGATTCATTCCATCACAATCAGGAATATTACTCGTTATATTATTGATTCTTGTCTTACCTTTGTTTTTATTTCAAAGGCCGTCCTGAATCAAACAGTGTGTCATACCATCATATAGCTGTTAAATGAGATCTACAAAGATTTAGGGCACTCAGTAGTGTCGAAGTAGCTGCCAAACTACTTAAACGCCAAAACCATTGAAGGCCATTTTCAAAGTCATTGAAGTTGAGAGAGGCGTCTGACTGCCAATCTATCCTCTGTTTGATGATGATGCTTGATGTTGCGATTTGATCCACTGATGGTTTATTTTTCCTAGAAGCAGCCTGTTCCTAGAGGCGTTTTACGTCAACAAATACAGGTGTTCCCACTTAAAATTAGCTTAAGGCATGATGCCACAGCAGTTTTGCCATATCCTTGGCATTTTGACACGGTAGTCTTTCTTCCAAACGATAAATAACTGTTCCCGCCGCCCCACATTTTTACTCAGTAGTGCTGTGAGAATGTCCGACGTGTTCTTTGTATCCATCCGTCATCAGTGCCTCTGGATGGATTCCGTCTGACTCTACTGTCTTCTCAGCTTTCAGTAATTTTATGGCTACCAAGACTCCTGATTCTTGTTGTTGTAAGCCTAGTGTTCACTGGATTTTTTGTGTATTCCTCAAAAATGAGTTGCAGGTGGTTGCCCGTCCAAGAGCCTTTTGAAGTGATCATACAGTGTTCAGAGGTCTCTCTTACCTACTTCATGTTCTGCTTCAGCTACCATCGTTTTGTAAAAGCATCACTGTTTTTTCTATCTTAGCACTTTTCTTCACTCCTATCTACGTCAATATTTTGTATTATTTTCTAAGTGAGTTTGAAATTAATTTTCTTATTCAGTACTAACTAGAACTTATACTCGAAAATCCTGCAACGACGAGAAGTATTGTCGTATTAATGTTGTATTATTATCGTGATAAGCAAAATTCAGACATCCCATTAGATAGCATCTACGTCAAAACATGTCGTCTGTTGTGTATCATTAAAATATTATCTGAATGAGACAGGAGAAATCACCAACATTTTATGTATAAATATAATTTTTATATCATTGCTTTAGCATGCACGTAAAGACTGGAAGATATACTGAGTAGAAAATGTTGTATCTTAATTTTACAGTAAATGTAAGGTGAATCGATGGAGTTTTCTAGGAAAAGTTTCACCGAGCAGCAACACTGTCAGTTGTAGTACAAATCGAAGGGTGTTTCATCTCATTCTGAAATTCATTCATAGTGTACCCTTACAAAATTCATACTCAAAATATGTGAGGTAGCGTCTTCGCGAACTTTATCGTTCAGTCACTTGTTCACTATTCAAGGGATTCTATTCCTCTAACTTCCTACCACTCGCGTCATTAAGCAACCGACAATCTGCTTCGATCTAGAAGACCTTACAGATAACTGTGTTTCATTAGGACATGAGACGGTGTAACCAGTGGACAACTGGACGTAACGGCCAAAACTGATGTGTTGTGATGTGAAGGCAGGAAACTAATCTCTGCGTCCTAATGTATAGCTAATCAGCACTTCCTTGAGTTACGCACAGTACGGAAATGTCCCGAAGATAATAAAAAGATAGTTATTTGTGATAAAATCTACGGTACTATTCAACATTACCTGAACAATGCCACTGGACAGCTATACAGATCAAATTAGTTCTCAAATACAAAACGAGTACCTCAGATCAAAATTAGTTAACCTAAAACCAACTGTAGAAAGTATCTGAGAATTAAGTAGAATATTTCTAACAAGGTGGGATCAAAAGCTCTGTCAGCAAGAATCATACACCAACAATTCCCCCAGACAACCCAAGGTCAGAGTGACATTGATTCACTCAAACAAAATCACATCGTAAAGCAGCACGTTACCAATATCAAAATAAAACGACCACAAAGAGAAGCCTTAAAATTAAAAATTAAACAGTGACAAGGCAAATGATAATGAAGAAGCCAACAGATTATATACAAACCTCAGAACAATGATATGCAGTCTAGGAGGAAAAGAGTTAATTACAAAATTAGTTT